TTATACTAATATAAAACCTTAATATGATAACTACCATTTATATTCACATCACAAAATAATCATAATATGCTTAATAGCATATAAATTAATAATAAAATACTCATACATATGTATACCGAAGCCTCGTAGCTTAAACGCAAGTTAGAACATCTACCGTCTCCAAAAATACCATTTAAAATAGTGATATACCATTCTACGACCCTCAAAACACCATAAATACATTAATTAATGGTCGATTTAAACACTAATGTGCTGGGAATAAATTCTCAAAAATCACTAGGCTTCACATAAACTTTTCGGGACCTTGCACGCATCTCCACGTGCCTCACGCGCCTACACACATTGCACACGCTTCCACACGTCTATTCTCATTGACAGGCGCATCCACTCGCTGCCACGCGCTCTCACGTGCTTGCATGCGCTTCACCATTGGCTGAGACCTAATACTGCAATATACTTTGCCGCATCGGATTATTTCCCCCTCTATATATGCTCCAGATCAATAGGCACACCAACTCCCATGGTCTGCGCTGCACCGAATTAAACTATTGTTGACCATAACTAATCCATGGTTTGGATTCACGTGCGCACCACACTTTCATGCGCTGCGATACATCGGATTAATCCAATTAGGATTAAATAAACCAATGGCCCAGATTTCATGCGCACCGTGATAGCATGTCTCACGTAACACCAGATCAATCTCTTTTGATCAAGTCACATCTATGGCTTAGATCCACATATACATCAACTCTCTATGCACCGCGTTACACCGGATCACAGTAACTTATTTAAACTCCAAAAATTATAAAATAATTCTAAAATTTTTCCCAAAAATACCAAAAAAATCCCAAAAACTTATAATTAATATTTTAGATCAAGAATAATAAATTGGATCATAATTAATATATATAATGACCTAATCATTCATTTAATATAAATAATTGTACACAACAAAATTTAATATATCTATACAAGTTTCATAAAAATACTAATTTAATCATCATAACAACATATATATATATATATATATATATATATATATATATATATATATACGCATAATTAAATCTATAAATCTGCGAAGAATAAATATGCTTATAGAATCCGATTAATAAATTATTTTAAATCCACAAAATAAAATAAAACTATTATTTAATTTTAAATCAAAGTGATAAGTTAAACTAACAACTATAATTTTGATAAATCAAGGTGATAGGCTTATAAATTCAAAGGGGTAGAGTAGAGTATAAATTTGCCTCAAGGATTTAAAATTAGAAGTTTAAATTTCGTCGGCAATAAAATCTCCAACTTCGGCCAACCTTCTGGCTACTCCTCGTTGCAGCCTTCCTTCTCTCATAATTTATGTCTTCATCAACACCTCAATTAAAATCAGGTATATATATTAGAATACCATTAATGATTAATATCATTAACTTAAAACAATTTTAATATAATACTCCACAGTGGTTTCCTTATACTAATATAAAACCTTAATATGATAACTACCATTTATATTCACATCACAAAATAATCATAATATGCTTAATAGCATATAAATTAATAATAAAATACTCATACATATGTATACCGAAGCCTCGTAGCTTAAACGCAAGTTAGAACATCAACCGTCTCCAAAAATACCATTTAAAATAGTGATATACCATTCTACGACCCTCAAAACACCATAAATACATTAATTAATGGTCGATTTAAACACTAATGTGCTGGGAATAAATTCTCAAAAATCACTAGGCTTCACATAAACTTTTCGGGACCTTGCACGCATCTCCACGTGCCTCACGCGCCTACACACATTGCACACGCTTCCACACGTCTATTCTCATTGACAGGCGCATCCACTCGCTGCCACGCGCTCTCACGTGCTTGCATACGCTTCACCATTGGCTGAGACCTAATACTGCAATATACTTTGCCGCATCGGATTATTTCCCCCTCTATATATGCTCCAGATCAATAGGCACACCAACTTCCATGGTCTGCGCTGCACCGAATTAAACTATTGTTGACCATAACTAATCCATGGTTTGGATTCACGTGCGCACCACACTTTCATGCGCTGCGATACATCGGATTAATCCAATTAGGATTAAATAAACCAATGGCCCAGATTTCATGCGCACCGTGATAGCATGTCTCACGTAACACCAGATCAATCTCTTTTGATCAAGTCACATCTATGGCTTAGATCCACTTATACATCAACTCTCTATGCACCGCGTTACACCGGATCACAGTAACTTATTTAAACTCCAAAAATTATAAAATAATTCTAAAATTTTTCCCAAAAATACCAAAAAAATCCCAAAAACTTATAATTAATATTTTAGATCAAGAATAATAAATTGGATCATAATTAATATATATAATGACCTAATCATTCATTTAATATAAATAATTGTACACAACAAAATTTAATATATCTATACAAGTTTCATAAAAATACTAATTTAATCATCATAACAACATATATATATATATATATATATATATATATATATATATATATATACGCATAATTAAATCTATAAATCTGCGAAGAATAAATATGCTTATAGAATCCGATTAATAAATTATTTTAAATCCACAAAATAAAATAAAACTATTATTTAATTTTAAATCAAAGTGATAAGTTAAACTAACAACTATAATTTTGATAAATCAAGGTGATAGGCTTATAAATTCAAAGGGGTAGAGTAGAGTATAAACTTGCCTCAAGGATTTAAAATTAGAAGTTTAAATTTCGTCGGCAATAAAATCTCCAACTTCGGCCAACCTTCTGGCTACTGCTCTTTGCAGCCTTCCTTCTCTCATAATTTATGTCTTCATCAACACCTCACTTAATCGCTCTCTCTCTATCTCTCTCTCCCAAATACCTTCTCCTCCTCATTCAAAACAAACACAAAACCAAATAAATAAAATAAAATATCAACACCATCATTCCTCCCTCATCGTCTCTCTTCTTTCCCTTTTCCTTTCCTTTTCTTTTCTTTCTTCTTTTCTTTTCTTTCTCAATTCCGTTCGGTGCCTCAAATAATTCACCAAGGCATCCAAGAAAAAGAATTCTAAGGCCCTGTTTGGTTTGTGTAGTGTAGTGTTCTGTGTTGTTCCCTACAGTGCTATAGTACCCATTTTTAGAACACATGTTGTTTGGCCCCCTTGTTGTGTTCTCAACAGTAGGGGAACACTTTCAGAACAAATCCAATATTTGGCCCAAAAGTTGGAACAACAATTTGGTGTTTTATGTTGTTCCAGGCCTATTTTTTTTTTTTTACTGTAGCGGAGATAGTAATAATTTTTTTTTAGGGCGAATCATTTCTGCCTCCCAATCGCCTCCATCTCTATTCTCGTTCTCAACTCTGGAACTTGCTCCCTCTCTCTCTCTCTCTCTCTCCAATTACAAACACAAAATCTATAAGGATCAGAAGTTCAAAACCCGCCTCCATCTGTATTCTCGTTCTCAACTCTGGAACTTCCCCCCCTCTCTCTTTCTCTCTTTTTGCAATTGCAAACTACAAAATCTACAAGAATCAGAAGTTCAAAATCTACAAAATCTTCAGATCTGTGAAGTTGAAAACCCATATCGACATATCATTTCAGATTGTTCAAAAAATCAAAACCCATATCTTTCAGTTTCCATCGCTGCTGTTCCAGTTCCGATTCGTCGTTCGCAAGCTTTGTAATTCTTGTTTGTATGGGTCTTGATCGTGTATATGGGTTTTGTTTTAGATTGTGTGTATGGATTTTGTTTTAATTTTTTTTTTCAGATTATGTGTATGGGTCCGCTGTTCCAGTTCTGGTTCACCGTGCGCAAGCTTTGTAATTCTTGTTTGTATGGGTTTTGTTTGTGTGTATAGGTTTTGTTTTAATTTTTTTAGGGCAAATCAGTTCAGTCTCTCAGACACCTCCATCTCTATTCTTGCTCTCTCTCTCTCTTTGCAACTGCAAACTTGTATGGGTTTTGTTTTAATTTTTTTTAGGGCAAATCATTTCAGCCTCCCAAACGCCTCCATCTCTATTCTCGTTCTCAACTCTGCAAATCAATTTTTAGGGCAAATCATTTCAGCCTCCCAATTGCCCTAGTCTCTCTCCTCTGTAACTACAATTCTGTGTACATGGGTTTTGTTTTAATTTTTTTTTCTAAATCAACTAATCAAGCTCTGTAATTCTTGTTTTGCAAACTAATCAAGCTCTGTAATTAATTTATTTTAATCATAAAACAGAAAAAATAATTCCTATTCCAAAATTCCCACTCCAAATTTTCATCCCCAAATATGTTTTGTTCTCATTTCAGAACACTACATCACAAAACACTTGTTCTGTTCTATGCTAGAGCATTACACAACATCACACAATACTTCCCAAACGGGCCCTAAGTCCCAAAATTCTAATCAACTTTTCATTAATTACAAACTTGCCCCAAAAGGTCTATCTAATTCCATTACCACCCCAAAACTCAATCTAATTACACAAAAATCCAAAATTAAATCTAACTACACATCAAATACCAGACATAATCAATGCACATAATTAATTACCAAAAATATAAAAATAAATATACTTAAAATAATTAAAATATTATAAATAATTAAAATAATTAACTACACGCATGCAAATAAATAAAATAAATTAATCCAGCAATAATTAATTAAACTCCATTTAATTATTTTTATAAAAATACGAGGTATTACACTTATTTTTGTGATGCATTTATCTAATACTGCGGTAAATAACTGAAACCAACTTAAACAAAAGTTTCATACAAAAAATACAGTAAATTGTTTCTCAAAACTAGGGGTCCTGTGACCCAGTGATGAACGTGTGAGCATGGTGGGTGTGAGTTTTTGTCCGATGATAAAAAAAAAAAATAATAAAAAAATAAATTAATAGAAGTGTGAAGTAAAAATGGAAAGGTTAACACGTGCACAGCACGTGTGCACAAAGTAGCATCGGTGGAAGGAAAATAGAAGTAGGAAAACCCTAGTATGCATAACACGATCATTTCTCTCTGGTCATTTCTCTCTGTGGCTGTGCCCTACTGTTGGTATGCGAATCAATAAGTAAGTTCAATCTCATCGCTGGGCTTTAAATTCTCATATTATTTCACACATACACACGCATCAAATTCTTCGGTTTAATATATGAGCTTATCATCTACGGCCTGTTTGTTTGCTGAGAAAATTACTATCTCTAAGAGCTTTTGATTCCCATTGTTTTTCGTTTCCTAATGTTCTGGGACTTTCAGTCATTGAAAACAAAATAGAGATCCAGAATATTAATTCGTGTTCTCGTATATTCTCGGTAACAAGACAATACATATCTGGGGTTTTTGCGTGCGATTTGAAACCTAAAAGAATTATGTTTAGTTACATGTTTGTTGTTTCTTACATTCAGGTCTTCGAATTCACAATAGGTCTCGTTAAAAAAAAAAAATGGTAGGAGAAAGTGAGAACGTAGGATATATTTTTGATAATACCGAAAAGATAGGCATAGAAATAAGTAGTGATAATGATTAATAAGAATTAAAAGAGGTTAAAATTGTTTTTAAAAAGGGGATAGGATGATATTAATAAAATTTGTATTGGAAGTATTGTTAATATGGTTATGCTTATGCACCCTAGTAGGACTAGATTACACATTAAAGCACAATTATAGAAACAAATGTATGAATTTATTCAAGGGATACCCGAAGGAGGAAAAAAATATACATATGAAGAGACTTTAATGGTCATTTAGGAAAAGATTGTAGAGTATACGTGATGGAACATTGTGGACATGGATTTGGTGATAGAAATGAGTCTATCTTAGACTTTGTAGTGGTAATCTTACACTTGGGAATGCCTATTTTAAAATAACTTTTAAGAGTGGATCCAATATTAGTCATATCACTAAAAAGATAGATCGATTAACAAGCAAAGATTGTTTGGTTATCTCAGGAGAGCTTTTAACTTTATAAAACACTATACTAGTTTTTGATGCATATATAAATGGAAAATTTAGGAGGAGAGAGAAAATTATAAACCCGAAAACTAGGTGGTGGAACTTAAGAGGGGAACAAACGATGATGATAAGAAAGTTAAAATAAGTTGTGAGAGAAGCTAAATATAGTATTATAAGTTGACACAACAGATGGAGAGAGAAAATGCATATAAACTTGCTAAACTTTGGGGTGGGGTGGGGGGGGGGGGGGGGGGTGATATTTTGATCATATTAAATTTATCAAGAGTGAAGATTTAAGGATTTTAGTAAAAGATGAAGAAATTAAAGAAGATGGAAAAGTTACTTTGAGAATTGTTAAATGAAATTATTTAGGAAGTTTAGAAGATTTTAGTAACATTAGGGATAATATATTTTTCTATATGGTCAAAGAGTGTTAGGTTAAAAATGTATTAAGGAAGATGAAATCAGGAAGGACTTCGGGATCATATGATATCCCTATTGAGGTTTGAATGTCTTTAAGGGATGATACCATGATTTGGCTAACAAAATTGTTTAATAAGATAATAACAACTAAGAGAATGTTTGATGAGTGGCACAAAAGTATTTTAATACCTATATTCTTAAAGTAAATGGGACAAGCCGTACCAATTGTCGTGGTATTGAATTAATGAGTCATACTCTGAACCTTTAAGAGAGAGTGGTTAAACAATGACTCGGAAAATCAATTTGGACTTATGTTGGGGAGGTCAACAATAGAGGCTATTTACTTATTGAGGAGACCAGGTAAAAAAAAAAAGAGCATTTACGTTATTTAGGCTCAGTTATACACAATGAAGGAGAAATTGAGGTTGATATTATTAATAGAATTTAGGCAGGATTGGTTAAATGGAGGAATGCATTAGTATATTATGATCGATTTATCTTGCTAAGATTGAAGGTGGAGCAATATTACACAACTATTAGACTGGTTGTTCTTTATGGGATAGAATGTTGGGTAACAAACAAACAAACAACATTTGCATGAAGTGTGAATGGCGGAAATGCTAATGCTGAGAATCTTGAGATGAACGTGCAGCAAGATAAGAAAATGATAGAATTAGAATTGAACGCATTGGTGAGATGGGTGAAGTAGCACTAATTGGAGATAAAATGACAGCAAATCGATTAAGATGATTTGGACATGAGCAAAGAAGATCACCAAGTTGCGCCAGTTAGAATGAGTGACATGGTCCACATTGAGGATAATGCAAAGTGAAGGGGAAGATCAAAGTTAATGTGGGTAGAGTTAGTAAGGAAGAATATAATAAAGCGTGGTTTAACTGATGCCATGACCTACATAGAATAGAATGAGAAATATATATTTTTGGATAAGTAAGTAGAATGAGAAATATAATTCATGTAGCTGACCCCAAGTAGTTGGGAAGACGGCGTTATTGAATTGATTTGAGTTAGAACAATGAATGGTTGAGGTGAAGATGCTGAGATGGATTTGACATAGGGTTGGAAGAACAAAGGTGCATTCATATGAAGGTAGCAGCAGTTTAATTGAAGATGAGCGAACAGTCTTCCATAAAAAGGCCAGACGTGCTAAATGCAATTTTCTTCTTATATTAGTTATTATAATATTTAAGCTAAATGCAGTGAAGACATCAGGAATATTCTCTAGAGGGGGTGACTTTTGATTTACATTGTACAAGAGGGGGCACAAATCATAATTTTCTAACTATGGTGATATTTTAGTAAAATTTTTGGAGTTAGAAATGTCATGCGTCAAGTTCTAGTGCTTGACTACAATAGTGGACTATATGTTTCAGGCTTTGCACAAGAAATGATTCATACATCACCTCTTGGTAAATTTAAAATTTGTTCCTGATCGAAACATGTTCTTTTTATCTGCATTATCAGGCTAGTTAGAAAGCTATGTCAAAATCAGTTCGATTCAGTAAAGCCGTGTGATGATGGTTTTGGGGACAGTTTATAAGTTTCTCTCATTTCATCTCTATTGGGTTCTACTTTTACCGTTCCACAAATGTACTCATTTCTAGTTTATCCTTTTCTCTCATCTCATCACACATCTATCATAACTCCAAATTCGGGTCACACTTATTTCATGAACATGTTATGTCTTGGCAGCCAATATTTTATTCCATAAAAAGTTGGCATATCTAATGGCTATTTCTTAAAATTTTACCTTTTATTTTTAGTGAAATATTGTCGATCACTAAATATATCAGAAGTACTCCTTCACTTAACCCATCATTGTTTAATATTATTAATTTTAAGGACTCTTTCACTTAACCCATCATTGCTTTATATTATGTTTAACACGCACTAATTTGTCCCTCTGTGAATAATGGAGCCTGGGCAACAAATCTCTTTCCTTTTCAGTAGTTAACACTTGATCATTACTACTACTTTTGCACTTGTATTTCTAGTTTTTGATATGGTTATATTTTACTTTTTCAATGTTAGTTTTAACTATCTGAAACCCTTTTAATTTTAGATCTTCTTTATAGACATCTACTTTATCATTTATTTGCATTAATTGCATTATTCAAAACAATGTCATCAGCAAATAGTGTACTCTTATGAAGAGCACCCTTTTGAGTCTTCCAACTTACATCCTTTTCCTATTCCAAGTGCCCTCTTCTATGGTGATGGAAGATTGAGAAGTTTCAGCGGAATTTCTTGTGGGGTGGCATGGCAGGGATTTAAGTTTTATTTCAACTTGTGAAGTGGGTGATAGGGGCCCGGTGTTAGATGGTTGGATTTGCTCCACAAAGCTCTGTGGGCTAGTGGTTGTGGGGGTTTGGGGGTGAAGAGGCGCAAGTTATGGAGGAGGATTATCCAATGCAAGTTTGGAGAAACCAAGGATGAATGGGGTTCCATGGAGGTTGTCCCCGGCAGGGGTGGTGGTTTGGAAATTCATTCGGAAATGTTTGGATGAATTTTCAATACATATTTGATTCAGGGTGAAGAGTGGAAGGCATATTTGTTTTTGGTGGATGTTTGATGCGGGGATAGACCGCTAGTGTGCTCCTTACTGAGACTTTTCTGGATTTCTGTGCACAAGCAGATCTCGGTTGCCGACTGTTCTCGGCATGATAGCGGGAGGATGATTTGGGATGTGCAGTTTGAGATGCATTGTCAAGATTGGGAGATGTAGGACATTGGTGACTTCCTGGCGTTGCTATATCACCAAGCTGTGGTTGAGGAGGGGCTGCATTAGTTGTCTTGGACGACTTCCAGTCTTGGGAGATTTGAGGTGTTGTCCTTTTACTGGAGGCTGTTAGATACTTCGGGGATCTCTTTCCCTTGGAAGTTAGTTTGGCGCACTAAAGCCCCTCTAAAGGTTGCTTTTTTCTGATGGACGACAACTTTGTGGCAGATCTTGATGATTAATAATTTGAGGCGGCGGCGTTAGATAATAGTTTATTGGTGCTGCATGGGTAGAAGCGATAAGAAGTCGGTAAATCATCTCCTTTTACATTGCCCAGTGACTAGGGACGTTTGGGACATGCTTTTTTTCTATTTTTTTGTGTTCATTGGGTAATGTCAGTTCCCATGAAAAGTATGCTCGAGGCTTGGAGTGGGTATACAGTGGAAAACAAGCCCAAGATTCTTGGAAGGTTGCCCCCTTTGCTTATGGTGGGGCTTGTGGCCGGAGAGAAATAGGTCCTTTGATGGTGAGGAGTTTCCTATTCGGGTGCTTAAGTTCTCTATTTGTAATATTGTAAATTTTTGGATGACTTATCAAAAAAAAAAAAATTATTGTAAATTTTTGGATGAATTTGTGGATAGTTTGAGAGTATAGTGGGCCTTTTTTGGTTTTTGTACAGTTATATTTGGGTTGCATTCCCCTCTTTAGCTCTCTTTAACGAAATTTACTTATTAAAAAAAAAAAAGTGTCATCAAACTTCATCTACAACTTAGGCAAAAGGACATACACTTGATGCTGATTCCCTCTCTCTTTTTTTGATAAGTAAGAATTCATTTAAGGCGCTCGAGGGGAGTCCTCCCAAAGGAATACAAAAGTCACCCACAGCAAAGCTATAATTTTAAACTATCCACAAAGTCCAAAAGAAGATCCATGACACTTCATACTGATTCTCAATGGAAGTCTAAAGTAATTGACAGATTCACTTGTTTTTCCCCCAGTTGTTAACATTAGTAAGTGTCATCTTATACCCTTTAACATGTCAATATATCTATTTGTTCATTTCTTTTCTGAAATTCACTATATTAGAGCCGTATTATCAACGACTTGCTCCAAATTTTTAATACATATGGAGATCTTTATTTTTCTATTCATATCTTTCAGCTAGTCTGCTAGCAAGTAAATAGCTTAACTATTTCCCTCCCGGTATAATTTCAAATTAAGTTTTCAATGTTTGTAGTCGTCATTATTGTTCATCACTCTTTCCATCAATATATGAATTTTTTCTGTGACTCAAAACATTTGAAACACCAAATGGCATCTTCATAATACTGATGCAGTAAAGATGAGTGTGTGAAAGTGCACCAGTGTAAATCACATGATAACTTAAACTTCGTCAAATAAAGAGGAAAACGTAACAGATACAAGCTTGTTGATATTTAAATTTATTTATTGTATATTCTTAGGTCTGTTTCTGATGTTATTGCAGGGAATGTAGCTTGGCTTTCAACAGCTGAACATTTGTGTTCCTGTATTCGTGGAGACAAGCCACAACAGCCACAATTAAGAAAATAACAGTGTTACTTTTTTGGTTAGCCACAATCCTCCCCCAAAGTTTTCTGCCTTTTGTGATCTATGGGAACCCCCGAGACCTCCCGGGAGCCTTGCCCTGACCGAATCCTTGATGATGTTGGTGGTGCGTTCGGCATGGGTGCTGTTGGAGGTTCAGCCTTCCACTTCATAAAAGGCATCTATAACTCCCCTAAAGGTGAGCGCTGGATCGGAGGCTCTCAAGCAGTGCGCATGAACGCACCTCGTGTTGGAGGTAGTTTTGCTGTTTGGGGTGGCCTCTTCTCCACCTTTGACTGCACGATGGTCTACATTCGCCAGAAAGAGGATCCATGGAATTCAATTATCGCTGGTGCCGCCACTGGAGGTTTTCTTCAGATGCGTCAGGGACTTGCTGCTGCATCAAGATCAGCAGCGTTTGGTGGGGTTTTACTGGCTTTGATTGAAGGAGCTGGGATAATGTTAAATAAAATTATGAGTGCCCAACAGAATTTGCCCCCAATGGAAGAGCCAGTGCCTAATATGCCCCCCGGTATGCCTGGATTTCCAATGGGACAATTGCCTGGTCAGGCTCCAGTGACTGGTGGGGGCTTGGGAGATGGAATGCCGTCATCGTCATCAACATCACCGTCATCATCTTCTTCTTCTTCATGGTTTGGAGGGCTTTTTGGTGGTGGAAAGAAGCAGGAGACAGGTTCCACCAGTGGAAGCAAGACGGAAGTTCTGGAGAGTTTTGATTCTCCAAGCCCTCCATCATTCGAGTACAAGTAAGATTGGTAGCCCATATCCTGACGTGGTTAGCAAAAAGTCCTCTACTATTTGTTATTTGAAAATGTGATCTTAATTTGGGGTTTTGGAACTTCCCTATGTGGATGGATTGGAATCTATCATTGTCATAAATGTAGGTCCCTTTATTATTATCACATTTCATGGTTAAACGCTATCATACAGTTCAGTTGTTGGAAATGTAGTTCCTATGTTTTCTCCTATTCGAACTAAAAACCAACAGGTTCTTGGCTGATTGGTTCTGATTTTGTTTTCTTTCTGGATAGTAGCTTACTTCTTTTGTCCTATGATACTGCATTTTCATATTCTTGTTCAGTTATTTGTTGACATTTGCTGTAGCTCCGAAATATTGAAGAATTATACATTTATAATAAATTATTTAATTGTGAATACTGAACAGTAATAGCTGCTTAGATGCATCATACGAAATTGGAAATTCTCTCACATTTATTGGACACGGTGTTTTGCTGACCTGATAGAGTTGCATTGCGTAGCAGGATTAGTGTGGCTGACCTTGATTAGTTCAAATAAGGCTTTATTGAATTGGTAGTTTGATTGTTTAGTTTGAGAGCCCTGCGTAGTCTTTAGTACCACTGATTTCTCAACCAAAATATTCAACATGCATGGTAGTAGCTATCCATCATCTTTTCAGACTACTTACAAAATGTGCATTGCATTAATGAGCAAATGCATAGTGATTATGATTTTCCACATGATTCATCACATTATTTGTTTTTTGGTCTATGAAAACTTGGCTGTCAGCAAACGAGTCTGCTTGACTCGCCACGGTTGGATCCCGTGGTTGTTTGAAGGCTTGTTAGTAGGGTTACGAGCAGGACAGGCACGGTTCCCACCACTTCACCCTTGTTGCCGTGCGATGAACCTCCTCTGCCTAGATGGTTATTGAGCAGAATGAAAAAGAAACCCTAATATGATACCTGTATGCATGTACAAAAATTGCTTGCAAAACGACTCCACAGAACTCTGGTGAAAAATGATTTAACAGTATTTCTCAATGCATTGCATGTATCTTTGGAACATGTAAGTTGTACAAATTACAATTGACTGACTACATAACACTGCCTCGGATTCTTGCATTTTCAAGCTCTTTTATCGTACCGGGCATTTTTTCTTGCAGCTCCTAATATAGCTTTGTCAACAGTGATGAAGTATGAAGCAATGGACGCTGTGCATCCAAAAGTAAAGAAAAATGTCAAATTTTCCTTATTTTCATTGCATGCATTTACAGTGAGCATGTGGTTAGATCGACAAGAAGTTATTTCAGGTTTCACTTCATGATGTTTAATCATAAATCCAACATGGGAAGAAATTTACATTCAATACCCTAGAAATCATAATTAAATAATTATGCTGGTAAATGATATCTAGAAAAGAGCTACTAGTTCACTTCTTTTTCAGCAAAAACTATTGACAGATATAAACTATATTGTCACATAGATGAAGAGTGTATATATATATATATATGAAATGAACAAACAGCATACATCAACCCAAGCCTTAATTTGCTATAGAGTAAACATTTACTTCAAACAAATATTTTTTTTTCCCCGGTAATTAGCTCATAATTGTAGTCAAATGCCGAACGTTGTATCACAATTCATAGTTATACGTGACATTTTGTAGTCAAATAGGTGTTGAAGGCAGATAGCTTTTAAAATAGATAATTGTTAACATGATATCAGATCAAAAACCCGTGTTGAACAAAAAGAATGTCACATTTGAAGGAAGTGTTGAAAGACTTAAATATTACTGAGTGTATATACCTCCAGATACGATGAGTGCCTGAGCAGTGTAATTGAGGTTTGCCTTTGCCCAAGGAATGCAGCGAACAGCAGCCAACTGACAAACATGGTGGGTCAGAAAAACATCATATATATAGATATAATGTTAAGCCGCTCAGTTTGACTTAAAACAGTAACCAAAATCTTATTTATCTTTATATATGTTTTAAGTGAGACCCAAGTTTATCACTTAAAACATATATGACGGATAAAACTCATTCGGTTAGTATTTTAGGTCTGAATTATCGGCTAGAGTAGCATTGTTCTATCGAAAATGAAAAACAATAACTCAAATGAAGATCACTGACTGTAGGCACGGCACTGACAACACATGCAATGGCTGCGGCCTTGAACCCCTTCCAAATGCCTTCTGCAGAATATCCAAAACTATGCAATATCAGAAAATGATCATCAGTGGAAGTATGCATGAATGATAGTGATCACAACATAAGAAAACTAGACTACAAATTACCCAAAAATATTACTACATTTATAAACATTCTTTGGGTAGCTGAAGAAACAGAAGAAAAGGAAACGAAACTACAGTGTTCGGCTGCATGGAATTTTGGTGAAATAAGAAAAAAATTTAGTTCACTTGCTTTTTTCCAATTCCATTAATTCCAATTCGATGCAACCGAACACAGTCTGACATTTGATTTCCTTCTGTCCTTTAACTGGAAACTGAAAACCCACTCAAGTCAAGTAATTACCTTTAGTTGCATTAGACACGAATTATTTATTTTTTTTGCATTTTCTTAGCAGCCAAACAGTTGGATAAAATGAATTCCAGTAATCAAAGTTGATGGATAATGTTATAAATCAAAATTGATTGTAAATGAATCTGAGATTGTTTTATTTTCCGCTATAAGGCTCGAACGCACATTTCTTTTTGAAAGAGAAGTTATACCACTTGAACTAATTGCACGGTGATAATAAGTTTATGTTGGTAGGTAAAGGAAACAGACTATATAAATCATGACAATTACATTATACGTGTAGTATATGCCCACCTTTTAGAAACACCAATTGCTTTACCCAAAGCTTAATTCAATTTGTAGCTTCACTGAATTGAGTTCTTCTGTTTTCTTCAAAAAAATTTTTTTTTTTAAGCCAAAAACTCATTTTCCTAAATCTGTGTTGAAAATAATAAAAACTTCAGTAATGATCGTTTTGAATTTTGAATAAACCAAAACTTTTTAAAATGTAGGAAAATATGCTGCACAATCTTCTAACAATAGATTACATATAAGAAATTTTTTCAAAAACAGTTTTCAGAAACGGCCCTCAAAATGTTTTCTTTTCCTCTTTTTCTTTCTTTCTTTCTTTCTTTTTATTTTATTTTATTTTTTTGGTGCTTTCTCAGGAGCCATACATATAAAGATTACCTTTTTGAGCATTCACAGATTTCTGATTTTCAGCCGGTAGCACCATTTTTGCTTCTCTTAGTTTATTGAAATTCCAAGCAGTTCCTAGCAGAGAGTTACATAAAGTAAAAAATTGTACAAGTAACAAAATAGGTGAAATAAAATAAAATAAAATTGATTTCACATAATAGCTAAACACAAGAAAATGTTGCATGTGGTTGGCCTAATTCTTCTAGCTTAGAATTGAAACTGTCCTAGGGATATGGACGGGTCAAAATAATCCCACTTGTTCACACAAGCAACCAAAACAAAATTTGATTGAATGACTTTTAACCACACATATATATATATATACACACACACACACATCAACCATCTATATATATTTATCAATATATTGGGTTTCTGCTCCACTTTGAACTGGAATTGAATGGCCAAAATTAACTAATTACTTACCAAAAAAATATATAATAAAAAATAACCTTGTTTCGAATATATTTTACTTACCGAATGGCTAAAGTTTACACGAATTTAAAGTTATTCTCCCGGTTTTTAGTGAACATTCATAACTGTGAGGGTCGCTTTGTCAAAAAAACTCAAATTTTATAACAAAGAAATATTTTCTCAAAATCCATAACTGTGATGACTGCTTTGTCAAAAAATTCAAATTTTATAGCAAAGAAATTTTTTCTATTTTTGAGATGGATGGAATTGCTCCTTTCTAATGGTATCCATTTAACTTCAATTATGCCAAACAAAGAGATCGTACCATTTTCAACAATGAATGCATGACCCATGCATCTCATAGTTGAGAATGGTTCGGTCTTCTTAATGCATTGAAGAGCTCGATTAGAATAGCAGTGTTCTATTTTTAAACAAATATTAAGTGTGCAAGACATGTCCATGTACTAATATCCAAATTTTGGACATCTCAAATCGAGGAGATCCAACAAACACATATCCACACCCCATAGAACCCGCTTGCTCATCATCTTAGGGTGCAAAACCAAACCCTTTACAAAATCTGCATGAGCCACAACATTGCAGTTCCATCCATAGTCAGAATTTTAAAGCCAACAATCTTCCAAGAGAACACACACACACACACACACACACACACACAATAAATGTAGCTTGGCATGCTTTAAACAGGTGATGGCTGCAAACAGAAAATGAGCCGGAGAGAAAGAGGGCAAAATCATCACTCTAGTCATAAATTTCACTTGTCAATTTGATAACAATGGCTTCCACAATAATTTTTGTAGGTAAATAAAATATTTGCATGACTAAAATGTCAATCTAACAGAAACATTTCCATTAAAAAAGGCCCAAAGATCTATGGTCGAGTACAACGACAAATAGCTTCTTACTAGAGACCTTATATTCTAGTTTCCAAGTACCAATTTGCACTTGGTTCTCCATCACTTCAAGTTACGTAAATATACTACTACATTGCAACAATTCCAGCTTCAGGTAGGTAGATGCTCGAAAAATCCAAATATAATAAAAAAGGATACACTGAAAGGACGCAATCAGCATATTGGTGCACGACTAGAGACCCTGATCGATGAGATAATCGCCCAGCCTTTCAACAATCATGTTGCACTGACCAGGAGTCATAGGCTCATCGTATATTCCAATGATCAAGGCTTGATTTGTCTTCTTGATGGTAACACCACCAGGGCCCTGAAATAAGTGTAACGTCGAAGTCAACAAGAACATAAGACAAGGAACCAATTTTTTTTTTTAAATGTTGCATTTATAACAATGTGTGAGGCTATAATGCTATCACATATAAAAATTCTCTTTGTACAACTTATGTCACACCTCGAAATGAATGTTGTGTCAAGCAAGTGACATGCAAGTGTTATGGAGAATTCTGCTTGGCATAGGTGGAGAGTGAGTTCTAAAGTATTCTATACTTGTGTAGAATGTTGAAGGATTCTAGAAACTTATGAGTAAAATGTAGAGAAATCAATATTTTAGAGAAGTAGAGATTTATATAGAGTTGAAGATATTTTAGAAGAGTGTTATAAAGAGTTAATCATAGCGGTTAATTGTAATACATTTCTAACCGTCCATTTGAGAGAACGATATCTATAAATAGGATAAGAGTCATTTGTATATGAGGGAGTGGAGAGATTGAGCCTTCTACCACCATAGTAGTAATACAAACAAAAGTTAGTAAGTGATTAGGTACAAATTCTGATAAATGGTACAAATATGACACTAATTTGCAATTTACAAATTTCACTATGGTAGTGTAAAATTTGCCTCCAAAATAGAGATCAATCCCATTTCAAATTTTTTATTTTTTTATTTTGAAATTATTTATTTAGCAGAAATAGATTACATACTTAATCAAGTTTTGTTATGAAAAACATATTATAAAGTAAACAACTTCACTCACTAGTTTAACTTTGCAGTTATCAATTATATATCAAATAAATTTCATTTTATGCCATAAAATACAATTACAACTCCGCAGATAAAAATATTTAATTTGAATGAGAGGACAAAACTGGAGATAATAGAACAGTAACATTAATAGTACACAGCATAATGACAAACAAGGATTTACACAAGCAACTACATATTCCAAATAATGGTAACAAGGTTTTCTTGCATTAAATAGAAATTAGTGTATGCACCACCAACTTAATAAAGATTATTAGAACATTCAAGTATTAAGTTATAATGGAAACAGATTATTAGTACATTCAAGTACCAATGAAGTCATAATGGAAACAACTGCATCATGCCATCATCTAAAACCAGAACTCCATTTTAATTGTATATGATAGAATCATAACTGGTGTGCACTGAAGGCGAAAAAATCCAAGGGCATAGTCAACATCCCCTTGAATTCAAATGGTTGCATTGCACATTCTATGGTATTTAAAATGAAAATTCATCACACAACATAAGGGCATTCATGGAAAATAGGGAGATTTACAATATATCTTTATCACGTGGTTTTTTTATTTTTTTTGAAATGACCAATTTACAAATATTCATAATCATCTCTGAGATGGCTGTGACTTTCCAAATACAAAGTTCCATTTAAGATGATAAAATTTTCAAATTAAGAGTGTCCAATGGCGCTCAAACTTAACCATCCAAAATTATTGTCCTTAAAAACTTTCAACTGTCAACGCAATTGAGTTAGTTTGGTTTGACCAATCCAACATGTTCAAGCATTTGAAACAATCACAATTGAAAAACAAGATATTGAGCATATGAGGGAAATAATGGTCATCACCTTCTTTCCACGTATGACAGCCCCTGCTTCCCCTTGGATCACCATATACTTTGTGCCACCAAGGTATAGCCCAGTTGGTGCAAGTGACCCAGGTTCAGAAAAATCATTCATAATAGCAGTTATTTCTTCAGGCTTAAACTGAAAAAAATTCAAATAAATTTTATTTATGTCAAATTTACACAGAAATAAATAAAAAGCGATGGTCACATCATACATGTAACAATGTCTTGCTTTCTAAGAGACAAGTGGTGTTCAAATTGATTATCCACCTTGAAAGCTAAAACTAGAAGAATTGTTCATTGAATAAAAACAATTATAATTTTCAAAACATGCATCGATAATTTAATATACAGAAGATGGGTGCACGTACACAATTAAATAGTACAGCCCTTGGAGACAAATAACCAATCATAATCAAGGATGAGATTCCCGCTTCGGACGAACAGATTTGAGGAGATACTGAAATATTAGCAAATAAACATTAACTTTCTAGACATAGCAATTGTCTGATTCCAAATCCCCAGGCTCTTATGAGTATTGTAGCCAAATCTATCCTCTTGAAAAAACTTAAATGGGCCATTGTAGTGTAATAATAACTTATCATTTAACAACTCTTCAAAACTTTGTTGCCGTGAACTTTCATGATAACTCATAATCACCATCGCAATGCAATATGTGGTTCCTCAAAAAATGGTGCGGCCCTCTCCTACCCCACAATTAATGGATAGAGTGTCCGGTCACCCATTTATACTTATATACCATGCACCACACGATCCGTAAATGCATTACATCCAACCAACATCCTATTCAGCTACAATTCAATTAGTACACCTTAGACCGAGGTCGATACAAGTCTCTGATAGTTCTTATGAGGTGAATGCAACTAGACAAAAAGGCAACCTGGCTGAATTGAGAACAGAATCACTTGGAGAGAGAGAGAGAAGGTAAGGGCATGGGACATTCATATCGAAATCATGTGACAGGTCAAAGTTTGTTAGCATGAGTGGTAGTAATATACTAATATGATCACTAACAGTGAGTAAATAAAAGGGTTTCAGTTTCTAAAGCTGGTTTATAAAATTCCAACACCACTCAAGTGTGTTGTAAACGAGCAAAATGTGATCGCACATATGCACATTTGTGGGCTGTCAATCAATCAGCGTCTTCCCTCCTACAACAGTCATCAAGTCTTACCAAAAGACCAGACTAACAGCACAAGTCAATCGGAGCATATATTCTAAACTAAAACTGCATTGTCAAGAGAGAAACTATATAATCCCAATAACATGATATAGTTGAGAAGCCATAAAATTGTATAAAAAACACACCATCTCACTACAACACAACCCCATTTATGTTTTGCATATTTATATATAAATCCATGTCTTTACACACACTTCAACGGATCAAAATGTCAAACCCAATATATAACTGTATATATAAATCCAAGTCTTTACACTTTAGCTGACCAAAATGTAAAACCCAACATATAATTTCAAAAAATGAATCATGGATGTACAATAAAGAATGAATAAAGCCAAGTAGCCAAAACAAATAAATAAACTGATAATAAGTATAACAATGTAATGTTTTCATCCTTTTCATAGAAACCCAAAATTGATCAAACCCATCAACATTAAAAGACGAATTGTTAGATCAAGACCTGAGGGAAGGAGGCGCTCTGAGCCCAAACGCTGCCTTCTTGGCCGATGATAGCAGCGGAAGTGAGGTGATTGCCTTCGATTTCGCACATCAAGTGCTCATCTACGTATGTTTGCCAAGACATCTTAGCTTCTTTGTATCTACAAATATTATACCCTCTTCTTCTTCTCTTCGATTCGAAGTTTTGATGTTCGGGTTGTTTCAGATCTCTACACTTTTTTACAGAGCAGAGAGCTTTTTTTTTTTTTTTTTTCGATATTTTTATTTTTATTTATTTAATAATAATAATAATTATTTATTTATTATTATTATTATTTATTTATTTATTTTTGTGAAAATACGGACTTCTTGGTCTTGTGATTGTGTTGAAATGTAAACATGATAGGAGAAAAATCAATTTAACTCCTTCCGTTGTAATTCTCTTTTCAACAGATTTAGTTCAAAATCAGGTTTAGGGAGAGAATCAAAATATCCATTTTAATAATGTATATATACAAATAAATATTGCGGTTAAATAATCAAAGATTGTACTCAAATTATATAGAGCAATGCAACAACTGGCTGCATACCCTATATGGCTGTGGAGTAAATTAAACTTTTAAAACCTTTTAAAAAGATGGTTTGGATAGCATTTGTTGTTTGGATACTGAGAAGAGAAATTGTGCTGTGGAATACAACTCAATAAGAAATCTTCAATTTTTTGTTGAGAAAAAATGGAGTGCAGGTTGATTGTCCCTTGTGAGGAGAAACCGTCAAACAAAATAAAAGTCAATTTTCATATGTTTAGCACGTTCAAAATAACATCGGGAAGGGGTTCAAGCCCGCATGTGGGTAAAAAATGTGTTAGTGCATTCATATCTATCGTGCCAAAACTTTTACCATGGCTGTCAAACCACCTAATGCAACTACCCAACTAGAAGTTTGAGTAGATGCTGAGGAAGTAGTAAAAGAGAGATCAAAGCATCTTGAAAGGATCTACAAAATTCATCACTATTTGAATGTCACTCATTAGATACCCAATCACATATGAAAATAACATGTTCTATAGATTCTGATTCATTCTGGCAAATGGCACAAGATAGGAGACTCGGAACAATTTCTGGCAATAAAATTTCTTTAATCTGAAGAATAAATAATCAATTAGTCGCATTACATGGTATGATGATTAGAAGAAACAAACCAATTAGATGACAAAAAAAATTTACAACTATAAGCTAAAGAAGAAACACATCAATTAGCTGGATTACATGATCAAGCACTTGTCTCTTTTCTCTCGTTTCCAACACACAGAAAAGGAGGCAGTCATTACATATCTAGAAGTTGTTTCGAAAGGCATATTAACATTATCAAGTAAAATCGCAATTATGATATGATGATTAGAAGAACCTCTAGCACTAAAGCTAGGACATCCTCTGCTCGATACTCGATGTAAAATGTGCAAATGCCAGAGAGTTCAAGAATCCTTAGAAACTGAATCCTCGGAAACAATCTGAGTAGCTGATTGTGAGCTTCGTTTTGTTCGTAAGAGAAATGATGGAAGGAAACGAGGGATCACGAAAGCTGATCCTAAGCAAAGAACTGCTAAGATCACAACCCACCATGCCTCATGGGGGATGCCCAATAATAGTTCGTCACAAACTGCCATGAAGACGGGAAAGTATTAGAACATCATTTAATTTGTCATGAAGATAAGAAAATGAATAAGCAATGGGACTCTCACAAGGACCTAGTCCCAGAGCAATCTGAGTCATTTGTATATAAAGGACGGCCAATTTAGTTGAAACACCTCATATCACTTCAAATGTTCCATCTCAGACATAAAATACACAATGATTGGTTAAAAAAAGAAAAAACAAGGAATACTATCTTCAAGTAACAGGTACGTCATAAACTACAGTATTCATTCAATCACATAGGCACCCATGAAAAATTAAATGCTATTAGTGCTTTGTTCATAACTTAATAATTTATACAAGTCCATCAACATGAATAGGATTAGGACCATAGATGAAATATGGAAACCATCACCACAAACAAGAACAGAAAGTTAAAATGGTTACTTTAGAAATCTAGACCTCATCATTCAACGGCTGTTGTGGCGATGAAATTTACTTACTTTGATTGTCCTACTCCACTCATCTGTCATAGCCCAAATTTGAGATGTCATAACATGAAACTCGAATAAGCCACAAAACAACAAACTATTTTTTTCCCGGAAAGTCATTTTCGGCGGATATTAATATCAAATAATTCCCACTTTTTGAGCAGTAACTATCTCAAGCTAATGAATTTGGATTGAAGTTAAATTGAACAAGCCTCTGTCACCATGAAACGTGAAAGTCAAAATAATTTAGTCTGCTTGGAATTTAAATTTGATAGAGCCATGCAGTTCAATTCAACAAAGTCTAGATCCTAATGACTTAAGGTTGGTTACATTAAATCTTTTTTTTCTACGTAGCTCTGTCAGAAAGCATAATCTAAATTGCAAAAGGAAAACATGAGAAAAGATTGTTACGCAGGAATGGAGAGCTATTCATTAGATATAAATTACAAATTGATTTCCCAACTCCAGTTTATCGCTAAAGTGAATAAGCAGTAAAATAAAAAAGGAGAATACTTAAAACTCTTTAAATTAGCTATCAGCTCGTAAAGCATTCCACATACACATACAGAATCACTTATCTCACTCCTGTTGTAAGTGTGGAGACAAATAAGATTGAAAGCAACTTTGTGGCCCTCGGATCCTCAGATGATCAGGAATCCAATATCAATTTTTATCACTGAGTATACCCCTACATATCAGGAAGAGCTATAAGTAAAACCCACCTAGGCCCTCACTTTATGCTGCATTAAAAATCTAGCTGCTTCACGTCCAGATTTTGTAAGTAATTTCAATTCCTCTCATGCCAATAAAGACAAAAACTACCAGCCACCATCACCAAAAACTACTACATATACTTTTGCCAATTGCAAGTTTACAACCGATTGAACTTGAAAGAGAAAAATCAGGTTTTCAGTTATAGCCTATACGCCAACTTCCAAAGGACCACAGCAATTCAAAGAGGTTAGTAGTCGTAGGCAGATCCATGAAAAACGGAAATTTTCACGATTCAACATGATCACACCAAGATGTTAGTCCTATCACCAATATTTACATCACTCAGTTAAAATAATTCAAAAGTTACAAACAAATATAACAATTCGTAAGTTATACAAAAGTTATTAGCAATCAATTGAAAACAACATTAATGACATTGAAACAGCATCAGCCTGTAATTGATTTTATCTTTCTTTTTGCTCGATTTGTCTTTAGCAAGTCTATCGAGGGCTTTAATGCCCCAACACCTGTCATGCAAGTTTATCTTTCTTTTCCATTTACTTTATTTTAAGCAAGCAGGCGAAAAAGGTGCCAAAGATCAGGTCGACACCTAGATCTGTGGCAACACACTTCAACTAATAATATAGTTCCCGTAACATTTTTCTTAAAACAAATTTAAGATTCCCTTGCACAATTAAGAAGCTACTAGATTGGGTATATCAATTTCTTCTCGTGCATTCTAATAAAATTTTAACCCATGATGGACATCAAATAAGCCACCTCTGCACCGTCAAATTCCAAAATTAAAAAAAAAAAAAAAAAAAAATCAGGACATTATTCTTTCCTTAATTCGATGCAGCAACAAATAAAAAAACCGAAATTTAAAGAGAAGAAACAAAACAAAACACACAAACACGCTCTTCTCAATGTGGGTTGCATGTAGTGAACTGAAAAATATGAATTTCAATAAGCAATCCTAGACCTCATGGAGTCAACAAAAATCTAGCTTGTTGGACTAACAAATAGTTTTCCATGCTTAGAAAGATAATATTACAAAATTGAAAGTAACCTTAACCAGTTGCTCTAAGTCATGACTCATAAGGTCAATAATTGATTATTTGCTCTCATCCAGTACATAAAAAGAAATTTGAAGGTACCTATGTTAAAAATGACATATTTCTGCTCCTGCACATGTGGCATTGCTACAAATCCCTCAGGCTCCACAGTCACCAGTACGTAAGTTCCATCCTGAGCAAAGCAGTCTGTCAAAAGCTTCTCAAGAGAAGGATATAATGATTCAGGTATTCTTCAGGCACAATCAAACCTGGTCCCTAAGCAAGTCCATGCTGTCAGATTTGAATATCAACTTTTCAGTATTGAGTAGTTTTCTTCTTTGTTTCAGTCCCGAGTCTGAATTACCTCTCCTCAGTTGTAGAGAAAAGCTAGAAGGTATCTGTTATTCAATACTAACGACATGACCCACAAAGAAAATTTTGAAAAAGCAACAAGACAGAAATATAATTTACATACAGAAGCTGGATATGATATCTTCACTTCATACCACGTATGTGGTTTAAGCCCCTCCAGTTGGTAAAGCCGGGAACCCATTTGTAATGGCAGTGTTTCCTTCCATAGCTCCACCCCAACATTTAAAACTTTGCTATCAATCCTGTAAGAACACACATCATAAAGTTACCTTCAATTCAGTATATACACACTCACACACACACACACACACACACACACACCCCAATATTCTCTTTCTTTCTTTTTCCCCAAGGAAATGTTGTCAAAGCAAATCAAATGCACAAAGTTTTAAAGTTCACTAACGTGTCCCCATGACTGAATGGTAGGCCATTGAGAATGAAACTGATAATGAAAAGCAAAATGCACAAGTTGTCTGCATATGAACTAATCATACTGGTCAATGAAACACCAACTCTGCCTCAACTATTTTAACCTGAAAAACCATAATAACAATTGGGGTTCTTAATCAGTTAGCAATCGATTTCATCTGAACAAGTTTGTGGAGTGTGTTCTCGTTAATTCCTAACAAACAAATAAAAATCACAATTTTGCAAAGAAACGCATATAGCAGCAGACCATAAATGTGTACATCTGGGAAAAAAAGAAGAGATGATCAAATATGCATCAAAACCAAAATTTATTCAATGAAAATAAAAAAATTCTTTCAAGAAACGACGTTTTAATCCACCTTACACACGAAGAAAAAAAAAAATAGTGTTCAGCCAAAAGTTATAATATAAATGAATTTTCATGTGAAAAATCAACTAACTTGAATGTATCAGTGAGAGAGGCAATCTGTGAAAGATACAAGGGATACATACAATTTGAGAAGGTTTTGATCAACCCAGAGATATTGATTTAGGGTTTCGACACAGACAAATATGAGAAATCTTGCAAACTCGAAATCTAGCTTGCCATATATTATTGATCACTGTAGATAGAGAAAGTGATGTGGAGAGAGAAATGGAAGAGAGAATGAAGCGAGCCGCGTGGGGAGTGATTCTTCCCCAAAGCTGAAATTTTTAGCGCCTTGATGAAATTGCCATTAAAATCGCCGTCAACGCCGTTAAAGTTGCTAACGTTTTCCAAATAAAAGATCCGTTCTCGAAATAAAGGAAAAATATAGAGGGAGAGAAATAAAAAAGAAAGGAGTGAATTTTAACCTCAATATTAATTATATATATATATATATAAGCGAAATAAGTTAGGGAAAATAATTCTTTTGTTTTTTGTTTTATGTTTTTGTATCAATTTTAAATTTTTTTAACAAAGAACCATGATCTTAAAATTAAATTAACCATCACCACAATTTTACAAAAGTTTTGGTATCTCAACCACCCAAACTTATTGTTCTTGTTTTACCCATCCTGTAATAAATGAGATTAACTTCATCCTTAAAACAACTCAACAAAATACATCTATACTTTTTATACTGTTTTTCAAGTTGACACAATTAGTTGTAATAGTCACCTAATCAAGATGACAAAATTATAATAACATTATGATAAAAGAATACTCGAAACACATCTAATTCTACTACATTTTATAAGAGACTCTTATGAAACTTGACCTTGCACCAAATGTATGGACAACTTTTCTTTTGAAAAAAGTTAACTCGTTTCTTGAAATTCAAGATAAAATAGAACACTTGAGTCTAAATTTGACTTTAATGCTTTATTCTTCATAATAATAGTAATAAAAAAAAATTATATATGTATTAAGTATTAATTCTACTAATCTCTCAGGAGGTTTGAATAAATTAGGTGGCCTTGCCCGTTTTTGTTTGCTGCCTAAACTTTCATCTCCAAAGTCACTGCAACCTACCCTAAAATTATAAGGACAATTGGACCCGTTAGCTTTAACCCTCTCCAAACCAACCCTGCCCCCAAAACCCAAATCCTCTGATAAAAAAGGTGGGAATTTGCAGCAAAACCCCACTTCCAAAACTGAAAGACGTTGAAACCCAAAGCACCTAAAAACATAACCGACAAGAGAAACAACTAGCGACACTCGTAGGACCTCAATTTGGAAGAAGAACAAAATGGTACATACAATTTCTTGGGGTTCTTTTCGATTTTCGACTTTCTTGTGAACATATTTTACTACGATTCATGCTTTATTATCCCTTTTTTTTTTTTTTTTTTTTCTCCCCCTCTTTCAGTTCTCAATTGCAGCCATTAACGACGTAGACTCAAAAGGCCAGTGGGAACCTTTAGCCCCAACAAAAGAAGCTCAGGCACTCTCTCTCTGTCTCTCTCTTTATATATATGTGTGTGTGTGTGTGTGTGTGTATTTATGCATGTATATAACTATGCAGATATGTTTCATCTTTCACGTGTTCAAGAATTGGTTTCGTTTTGATGTTAACTATACAATGTGATGAATGTTTAGGATACTGGTGAATTGTACAAGTCTAACGGGAGTGCCCAATTCGTAATCATGTCAATAATGCTATTATTGTTAATTTCCATGTACTTATGTTATTTGTTGAAATGAGTCAAACCCGAATTGTTCTCGAAGTCTTGCATCTTCTTCGGTCCAGTGGGCCTCAATATTACAGTGATTTGAACTTTGTTCCAGTAAATTGCTTAGCAAATGGCCATGGTGATGAGTTGCGAAAAGATTAATTACCAAGCCCTAGTTTAGGTTTTAGAGTTGTCAGTCATGGTTAAAAGACCCTTGTATATGTTTGATAAGTTGGTAAGTGATTTATTCATGTAGATGACAATGATATTAGCTGGCCATATGATAGGGCGCAAAGCCCTAGTTGATCACAGTGCTATGTTGCATGGACTCGTTTACATGTGCCAGATGCAAGTATGTGTTTGAGTGACATTGTTATCAAATCTCTAACTTCAAAGACATGGGGACTCATGTTTATTAATGTTCTTACTAAATTTTTCGGAATATAACAATGTTTTTATATAACCATAGACCCTTCACTTGTTTTGAAGTAATATGCAACAGAATGAACGTATACGAACTTTATATATGATTAAACGATGAACTTGAATTATTGGATGTGATTGTCAGGTGCAAGTCCAATAAGATGTGTTCAACACATATTTTGTGTCCGTGTTGTGTATACATGGGAACTTAACATAATATTTAAGCATCCTTAAATAGTCTCACCGTACATGTAACTAATTATACAATGTACTTTTGCCTTTTTCTCTCTATTACCTTCATTTGCAAGTTACTTTTCTTGAAATATTGAATGACTTATTTGCCATGCATTATCTTGTCACCATTGACTGTTGCTACATTCTCATCCTCTTTATTCTTAGCAAGCTTTGTGTGTCTTATACTTTCTTTAATTGCAATTTTCCGCGGACTTGGGCTGTTCTCTATTCTATCTTACGTGTTAATTTTGAAAGAATCAATTTTGTCTGATTTCCTTTCACATGCCCCATATGGTGCTATTGGATTTGGTTCACTTCAGGAATTTCATCTTTCACAAACTTACCAAGAAGGACTCAAGAAGCTAGAAGCCAAAGAATACGAAAAGGCTCGTGAACTTTTAGAATCTGTTTTAAAGGACCCTCTTATATCAAGTGCTCAGGTACCATGTGCGCTAAAGAATTTCTAGATACCTAAGTGGTCATTTTGTTGTTTAGTAGTTTTTTAAATGGTATTTTCTGTCTTTTTAGGTGGAAAGCAGTGCTAGTGATGGTCATCTTTTACAACTCAGGTTTAAATTTAACAACCATCTATATTATTTATATTAGTTTTGTTCTATTATCAAATTGTCTTATATTCTGCTTTGCATTCTGTATGGTTTCCTTCAAACTTCGGTAACTTAAATTTGTTGATGAAGTTATGAATGGTCGTCAGCGTTGCATTTTCTATTTCTATCATATTGATGTCTGTGACACTTGTTTCTCTTAGCCTTACTGATCGGTATAGCCCCGCCTTTTAACCTTACTGATCAGTATAGCCCCACCTTTTAACCTTACTGATCAGTATAGCCCCACATAATCCAGCTGTTATACTTCTCTATTTCTTTATTTATTTTTAGTTGATGGATTACTGCTGTATTTCCCCTAACCATTAGTTTACTCTATATCAATGGTTTTATTATATCTTCCTAATCACGAGCAAGTCATAAGTTAAATCTTGAAAGGGTTAATTTAGATGTTATGCATAATCTATCTCACTTGTATGGCAGTTAAAAGCTGTCCGTCAAACCAGGTCTAGATTTAAAGGCTGTAGTTGGTTTTATATATTATGAGGCCGTATTAAGTATTAACAAAGCTAATTTCATTCAAAAAATGTATCAAAAGTTTTATTGAAATGATCCAAGACCACGAGTGCATTTTAATTTGGCTTTGAAACCTATATATATGTTTTATTCCTTTCCTTTCTTTTGCCTAGAATTGATGTTATGTGGACTCTTCTAAATGAGAGAAGCAGCTATGTCTGAAACACAACTTGGTGTTGTTACTGGAATACGTGTATTATATAAATTGCCAGATGTGCACCTAGCAAAAATAATCCCATAGTTCAACTTTATATATGTTTTATTTGATTAGACAAGTTTATTATTTTAAACTCTCTTAATACAATTCTTTTGTTACATTATTGCTACAAAAGTGTGAAGTGCCATGTTGAGGAATCTAGGTTATGTAAACTCACCATTGCACTTTAGAAAATTAAAAGACGGATAAGAAAATAAGAATAATCAGCCATGTAACCGTGTTCTTGGATCTTGGGTTTTGATAAATTTGATGCTTAGACACATACCCATTGTCACTACCTGCCCAACCCGTGTAGATATTGTCTACTTTGCACACTCCCCCCTCGGCGCTCATGTTTTTCAAAATGCATCTACATGATTAAGGGGAGTCCACTCATATAACTCTCAGCAACTTATACCCCCGGGTGATGTGGGACATCACAATCATCCCCTCTTGATACCCAACGTCCTCGTTGCCTGACCCGCATGGGCTTGTGCATGCCCCCCATTTCCAGCTGGGGTGGGTGGCTCTAATACCATTTGTCATGACCTGCCCAATCTGTGTATATATTGTCCGGTTTGCACACTCTCAGTGCTTATGGTTTTCAAAACGCATCTACATGGTTAAGGAGAGTCCACACATATAAATCTCAGCAACTTCTCTCCCCAAGTGATGTGGGATGTTATTGATGTGTCGTATGTTTTACCAATAATAAAACCACTTGCAATAGAACGAATCCTTGCAGGATAGGGCTATTTTGAGGGTGTTAAACTACAGGGACTGCGCTGGTTAACTTGCTAAGTCTCAAGAGTATTTCCGGTTTAATTCGAGAAAAATAGTTGATTTGTATTTTCTAATTATAAGTGCAATGAAATTAAAAACTGAAAATAAACTAATTTAATGATAAGAGATATTCTAGAGAAAAGGACTAGAGAATTGACTTCACCACTAACCTCATAACCACGGTCAATTATATTTTTTTTGATAAGTAAAATGTATTAGAAAGCGTTCAAAAGGGGAACGTGTCTCAAACTGTACACACAAAAAAAAAAAACGGAACCTATGAACTGAAAGAGCCCAAAAAGTCCACAACATCCTCAAGAGAAGAATAATCTCTCCCCCAACCCCAACAAAAAAGCGTACAAATAATAGAAAATTTCAGCGCCCCAATTGAGGACTCCTTTCCATCAAAAGATCTTTTATTCCGCTTTTTCTAAAGACTCCACCAAACGCAAAAAGGGGTCACCCTCCAGAAGTCTTTAGCCTGAGTCCCCACCCATTGACCCCTCCAGATATCCAGCAACTCCCAAGAAGTCCGAGGCATGACCCAATGGATACCAAACAAACCAAAAATAAGACTCCAACAATCATGGGCCACAGGACAATGCAGCAGGAGGTGATCCATGGACTCCCCATTAATCATACAAAGACAACACCGATTACCAATGATATGTCTTCTCTTCCTCAAATTATCCAAAGTCAGAATTTTACTCCAAGCTACAGTCCACACAAAAAAGGCCACCCTAAGAGGCGCCTTACACCGTCTTCCATGGGAAGGTGGTACCATGAAAACCAAAGAGGCGCACAAAGAAGGACCAGACCTAGAACATCCCCTGTGTAGAAGGCACCCAAATCAGGGAATCCGCACCAGTGCCCTCCACCTCCTGTCTGTACAACAGAGCCAACAAACTAGTAACATCATCTAACTCCCAATCTTGAAAAGATCGCCGCAATCGCACATCCTAAGACAACCTCCCGCTATCAAGGCGATAGCAGTCAACAACCATAGCATGTTTGTCAACAGCAATCCTAAACAGCCTTGGGAACAAAAGAGCCAATGGCCTATCCTCGCACCAGGAATCCTCCCAAAACCGGACATTCCTTCCATCCCGAACTCTGAATCTGATATGTTTATAGAATTCATCCCACCCCTTCGCAATGGACCTCCACACCCCCACTCCACTAGCAGACCAGTCATCCCCACTCCACTAGCAGACCTGACTGGCCCCCCCGCCCCCCCCCAAAAAAAAAGGCAATAGGAAATGACCTTTCTCCAAAATCTATGTCTTTCACTGCCGAACCTCTAAAGCCACTTGCCAAGGAGAGCACTATTGAAAGGAGCCAATCTCCTAATTCGAAGTCCTCCTAACTGAAAAGGCTTGCAATCCTGCTCCCATCTGACAAGATGATACTTAAACTTCTCCCCACGACCCCCCCAAAGGAAGTTTCGTTGAAGCATCTCAAGTCTTCCAGACATAGAGGCTGGAATCCGAAAAAGCAAAAGAAAGTACGTTGGGAGGCTTGACAGAGTACAGAAAATAAGAACAATTTGCTTTAAATCAAAACAAAATCAATTTCTAAGACAAGACAATGATTTCATTAAAACTGATTATAAACCTTAAATCCAATTGCAATTGAGATTATCAAACAATTCTCCAAATCATGCAATTCTTATACATAGTCAGAAAATTCCCAAAAAATAAATACAATTGAACCATGTTACTTGACTAATGTTACATCAATTCCCTAAGAAGGAAGTTAGATACTCATGGAGAAGTTAGATGACTTCAAGAATGAGGAATACACCATCTCCATGGACTTGAATTTCTGCTCGGATTCACCTTCTTCAAGCTTCAAAATCTCTACAACTATGGTGAGAACTCCAAGCCGCCAAAACTCTTCTCCCTCTCTTCTCCTCTCCAAATAGTCATTAATTATGCCGTATATTAGCCAAAACGGGCCCTAAACTTGTGCTACCACTTTTGGAGGAAGTCTGGCCCATGTAGGATTAGAAGAAGGCCAAAATCTGAATTCCTGCAACTTGCAGGATTCCTGACTGGTGCATGGGCGCTTGATCCCTGAAGCGGTGCTCGAGCCGTCCTTGAGGGGGATCGATCCCTTGAGCCTAAATTTGAAACTCTTTATGTCTTTAGTGGGCGCTCGAAAAATCACTCCAGGCCTCCTTTGAGTTCTAACTTGACCCCGAGAAAGCTGGTGCACTCCTTGATCCCTGGAAACATCATCAAAGGCCCGAAATAGGTAGATTTGACCGCTTTTGAAGGTGAAGACCTGAAAATAACTGAAACCAAGAAAATGGTATAAGTACTACTACATAAATACTGCTAAAGAACTATTATATGCATCTTAAAGGTGCACATCCAGTGCTTATCAGTTACACCCATACCCAAAACACATTCCCGAGCCCATGTAACATAGAATGCTGTCAAGATTCATGTAACTAGGCCTTTGAGATATGGCTTAGATACTGTTCCTTTATGGTTTTCAAGATCTGTTAGGCATAGGCATAATGGTCTTTAAATTTATAACTCAAAAGGTTGACCTGAAGCCTGAAGGACTTGCATTGAAAAAGTGATTGGGGTAACATGTTTGATTGAGAGTTCTTTGTGCACCTTTTAATATTATTTAAACATCCAAATCACATTTGGGGTTTTTCGTATTTTCAACCCATATTTTTCTGAGAAAGAAGGGTGACTGATACAACTTGAAAAATTATTAGTTTATTATTGAAGTATAATTTAGAGCTCATTGTTAGGGCCAAAATATCGATTTCCAGCATCTAATAAAGAATAGTTGATGTTTAAGTATGATAATTAAACTCCCATATGTTTAAAGCATGAACTAGAGCAGGTCTGGTTGCAGATCCAGTGGTCAGGCAGGAAAGTGCTAATCTTGGAAGATTCAAACTGTTGGTTGCTTGGTTTGTGTAGGATATAGAAGCTACTAAAAAATTACAGTTATGAATTATTATATATATTCATGTATAATAAGCAGTCCCCCATAATCTTAGATTCATGAATCTTGGGTAGGTGATGAAGCAGACATGTATCTAAAAAATTTAAATATAAATTGAGTCACAATAGAAACTTATAAAAATTTGAAGTATAAACGGAGAATCATTATTGTATTAGGCTTAATATGGAGATTGAATGAGCTTGTGTCATTATTAGGTGATTTTGTGCTGCTAATATTATCAAAAGACTTGTTATCTATCTATATATCTATATATATATTATGTCCTAACATACATTAATATTTTTCAAGAAAAAATGGATGTACTTTCCCATAAGTATCTTGTATGATTATTTAGTAATTTCGGCAGATTTTTGGCGCTGAAGAACCTTGCCACCGTTTTTCTTCAACAAGGTTCTAACCATTATGAGAATGCCCTGCACTGCTATCTTCAAGCTGTAGAGATTGATGCCAAAGATTCTGTTGTTTGGAACCAGCTAGGAACATTGTCCTGCTCAATGGGCTTGTTGAGCATCTCACGTTGGGCATTTGAGCAGGGGCTGTTTTGCAGCCCCAATAACTGTAAGCATTTATATTGTTTTTCTTTGGATTTAGTATATTTGTTATCATGTACAGCAAGTCCAATAAGTGCTTATCTATTGGTACCTTCTGCAAGTTAGACAAGTTTCTCAAGATATTATTTGTTTATTTTTATCATCTTAAATGACAACACCTTTTGTTTTCGTAAAATGCGTGGCACATTGGTTATTATTTTTATTGCGGACAATGTGTCTAGGGAATTGCATGGAGAAACTCTTGGAAGTTCTAATTGCTATCAGCGACGAGGTTGCTTGTCTTTCTGTTGCAGAGTTAATTTTGAGGCATTGGCCATCACACTCCCGTGCTTTGCATGTCAAAAAAACCATTGAGGAGTCGGAACCAATTCTGTTTGCTCCTAGAGGCATAGACAAACTGGAGCCAAAACACGTCCGTCTTAAATTCCTTGACAAGAGAAAAGCAACGGATGAGAATATAGATGAGGGCGTTGCATCTAAAAAGTTGAACCAGAGGATAGAATTGCATCTTGCAGAAGCTTCATGGACAGCTCTTGTTAATGCACTCCTGGAAATCTTACTTCCATTGAATGGATGTGGTTCTGACCAAGGGGCTGACAAATTATGCAGATCCGGGGATATTGGATTAAGTATACAATTGCCTCATAGTTCAGAAAATTATATGCGGCCCATGGAAAGGAAAGGACCTACTGTCACCTCAGTTGGTGAAAATATGTCACTCAGTGATTGTAACTCTGAGAAAGCAAGTTCTTTAAAAGAAAAAGAAGCAAGTGCTTATGAAGAACAGCCTCAAGAGCGGCGAAGTAGTCGTCTAGAAAGGCTTAGGAGCCGTAAACCTGGAAAAGAAGAATTAGATTTTGACACTGGTAAGGATCTGGCTAAAGTAGTAGTTCAATATTTAGAACCTTTTATTGTGGGTGGATCAGGAACTAGAGATTGTACCAATGCTCCAAGTTTTTCTGTTTCTTGTGCTGAGGTTGTGGCTAATCAAGTGGGTAGTGAATTTGATGATGTTACTAAATTTGTCGGCGAAACTTCAAAAAATTATGGCGCTTACCACATGGGACACTTGCTTCTAGAGGATGTTTCAAATAGAAGTATTTTATACCGGGATACCTTTTTCAAATTTTTGGAGTTGGAGAAGTTGACAAGGCAATGGGGACGAGGTAGGACCCCTGAGTGCGGTCTTTTTCTTGCTGAGCTGTATTATGACTTCGGTTCTCGTTCTTCTGACATGTCCAGACTGTCTGACTTCATGTCAGAGGCATCTTTTCATCTTTGTAAAATCATTGAATCTGTGGCTTTGGATTATCCTTTCCATGCAAGTGATAAAAGCTATAAAAATTTCTCTTTAACGTATAGCTCTGAAAATAATTGCGATTTGTCAACTGGAACTACTTATGTGTTGACCAATAACCGCTCCTTCTGGATTCGCTTTTTTTGGTTAAGTGGGCGATTATCAATTTTTGATGGCAACAAGGCAAAAGCTCAAGAAGAATTTTCTATTTCTTTATCACTTTTGAAAAACAATGAAAATGTGAATGATTCTCTTAGTTCCGTTCGCTTGCCACACTGCAAGGTTATTCAAGAGTTAACTGCAGATTGGATTCTCCATGAAATTAATTTATTAGAGGTTGATTTCTTGTTGAAGAAGAATGTGGGTGAGATGATTGAGAAAGAAATGAATATTGAGTGTGTAAGTGTGCTTTCTCCCCTTCTATTTTCTACCAAAGATGTTCACCTTGATTTATTTTGTGGTTTTGGTAAAGAAGGTGAAGGGGTTTCTTCAGTTGAACTATCGGCACTGGATGTTTTGATCCAAGCATGTGAAAAGGCAAAACCAATGGACACCGAGGTGTATTGGAAATGTCACAGGCGGAAGCTCCAATTACTGATGGTTGCTGCTGGAGTGGAAGAATGTCTTGCTTCGTGTAAATCTGTTCACAGGGTGTCAGGGTTAAAAGCACTTTCAACTTTTGAGACAGAATCAAAGGAAATCCTAGGCAAGAACTGGAACCACTTGGTTGCAGAAGAAGTAAAGGCTATCTCTCGATATGCATCACAGATGAAGAACTTTGTTGATCCACACAGAGATTCTGTAAGTCAACTTCATCTTCAGAAATTGATGGATTTATGGCCTTCGTTTGTATTTATTTATTTTTTAATTTTTTTAGTGATACTCTTTAACAAGTTCACTGGATAGACAAGTGAGGGAACACCATTATGATGAGAGATTGCTCTCAATTTCCTGTAGTTCGAAAGTTGCCTGATATGAGTTACGCTTTATTAAAAGTGACATCTTGCAGATTTTTTTTTTATTTTATTTTTTAATTGCGGATCATTCTTTTCGTTCAAGATCATGCACTTTATTCAAGTTTTAAGAGAAAGTTTGTCAAATTTTAGCCTCTAGAAACTTAACCATCTTCAAACTTTTTCAGAACTGTAACATCATTGAACTTGAGCAATCAAAATCCTTGTTACTATCATTGAACACATGTTGATTTCTTGCTCAGCAATTGTTAAGTTGAGATGCATTACAATCAAAATCATCTCCTCCTTTTGGAATAAAGTCCACTGAACTGTTAAGTTATATACATTTGCACAAACGTTCTACTACAGTTATAGTTGCCTTCGATTTAGGATAATTAGCCTGAGCATGTGACACTGTCGATTATGCCCTTTCAACACAACATATTTATTGATTTTCAGAGTCAAATATTCTCAGTGCCTAGTCTGAAACAAGTATCAAGTGCCTATATTATAATTTCAAGTATTCAAAGATGCTGCCACCCCCCACCCCACCCCACCCACACACACCTGCACTCATACCCACATCCACAACTCATGATGTAGGACCAACCTGGCTTTGATACCAAATTAATGCGCAACCATGGGAGAGAAAGAAGTGAGAAAAAAGAAGCAGAACAGAAGAAAAAATAATTAGGGGAAAAGAAATATCTGTTTTCAATGATCTCAATAATCAGTATTCATCAAAGGGGTCCAATTCAATGTATAAAACCACGTCTATATAGGTACTAAAATAAAACTCTAATCAAACACTATTACCAAAAATAACAATCCTAAAAACAAGTTAAATCTCAATGATAATAAAACAAAAACAAAAAAAAAAAACTCATAGTATCTTTTAGTTCCAAAAAGAATATACAGGAAAATACTATATTCTATTTTTCGTTGCCCCTTCTCCAAGCATATGTGAGTGTCATGTGCAGCTCACGCGTTTGGGTAACGTCTTAATCTTCATCAACTCTACCCAACTTAAGAAAGCCTTCTCGCAACTACTTGTGGTCGGTTACATGTATCCTGTTTTTCTATTTATGCTTTATCTAACACTATAGGCTCAGTTGATCAAATGTTATCCTATCTTTCCTTATTGCCTCTACAATGTTAATTTTTGGTCATCCTTTCCCCTAGCATTATCCTTAACGTAGACTACGGTATTCTTCCTAATTGGTGTACTTAGTGGTATACTTGGCACATATCCAAACCATCTTAACTAGTTTTTTCTCATTTTACCTCTAATAAGTGCTGCTTTAATCATTTCACTAATGTGCTTATTTGTAATTCTTTTCATTTTTTTACTTGTTGCACATCGATCTCAACATTGACCATATCCACTGCATTCTATGAATATGTAACTACCCAACATTCTGTCTCAAAGATTGATTGGCTAATAAACTTACCTCTCAATATTAGAAGGGTACACAGATTACACAATAATCTAAATGCACTCCTCCATTTAATCCATCTTTTCTTGATTATATGATTCATCTCCAATTTTCCTTCACTGTGAATAATTAAGCTTAATCACTGAAAATATTCACTTTTTGGTATCACTTGATCCTCCATCTTCATTATGTTCCGATTTAGATTTCTACACTAAAGTTAGACTCATATAATTTGTTTTATTCCTACTTATCTTAAACATTTTTAATTCTGGGGATTTCCTCCAAACCTCAATTTAACACTTATTCATTCTCTAGTTTCATCAATTAAAACAATATTGTCAACAAATAACTTACACCATGGAATCTTATAATGAATGTGTCTACTCAGTTTATCCATAATAAGGCTTTGTAAACCCCTCCATATTAGATTTTTAGGTACCTTAACATAGAATTTCCCTAAGTCAATAAAAATCCTATGAAGATTTTCTTAACTTAGCTTAACATAGAATTTCCCTAAATCAGTAAAAATCGTATGAAGATTTTCTTAACTCTATATCCTTCTTTTAGTCTAGTTAGTAAGTAAATAGCCTCCATCGTTGACCTTCTTAGCACAAATCCAAGTTGATTTTCTGACACTTGAGTTTCTTATTTTTATTTTTTGATAAGTATGTATTGAAAAGCACCCAGAAGGGGGACGTGGCCCAGAACAACAACATAAAAACTATAGTCTCAAGCTATCGGCAAAAGACAAGCGAATCTCAATAGATTTACTGTTAGAGCCCTGAACCTAAAAGAATAGAGAATTAAGAACAGAATATCTAAAAACACCAAGGTGACTCCACCTCGTAAAAGGATCTCCTGTTCCTCTCCTTCCATAATGCCCACCACAAGCAAATGGGAGCAGCCTTCACACATATCTAACTTGGGGCGCACTTGGCAACCACCCCATGCGTCAATCAAGCTCATTGCGGACTCTGGCATAACCCAATGGATCCCAAAAATGGCACAAAGCATATCCCAACCAAACACCAAATGTCTTTCCATGAAAAGGACATCCCTTGAACCTCCAACAGACGACAATAAAACGAGCGAACCTGATCCCACCCAAATCCACTCATTCAACCCCTCACCAGTCACGACCTGACCATACAGCAAAGCCAAGAACTCAACCATCTCTTCCACCTCCCAATCATGAAGTCTCTCAAACTGCACCTCCCAGGATAATCTCTCGCCATCAAGGTGATAGCAGTGATCAGCCATCGCCTGCCTGTCGACCACAATCCCCGCCAGTCTTGGAATGTCTGCCACAAGAGGCCTTTCTCCGCACCAAGAATCCTCACAGAAGTTGATGAGGCGCCCGTCCCTTACCCTGAAATGGACAGCTTGGAATATTCATCCCAAATGCTCTTCCACGAGCCAATTCCCATTGAGGACCTCAGCAACAAAGAGCATCACCCACTCTTTTGTTGGTATTAAATTACAAGAAGGCATAGGCGATACTTAGGAACCCAATTCTTATATCATTGAACTTAAAATCTAATTAGCCAATTTACATAATTGCTGAATGTGAATAAGAAATTGGAAGTCTAAAAATTGTCAAAGACGGTTTCTATGAACTTTACAATATACAATGTGTTTGACACTCTCTCAGTGATTACCTTTGAAGTATGGAAATGGATATGAGACATGGATATTACATGACATAACATGGACCCACAAAAAAGTAGGACATGGACACAACAACAATGAAATATATTTTTTACATATAAAAATTATATTATATAAGATGAAAAGTACAATATGATAAGAGTTGAAGGATTTAAATATTAAAGTTGCACCCTCTATAATATATTAAGCTTTTAGAGTAGATGGTGGTTAACATGGTATTAGAGCAAGCAAAGTCCCGAGTTCAAATCTCACCGTCTCCCCAATAATTAAAAGTGAAACACATGTTGGACCAAAAAAGGGTGACACGTGAGGGGTGTGTTGAAGGATTTAAATATTAAAGTTACTCCCTCTCTAACAACTTAAGCTTTTAGAGTAGATAGGGGTTAACAATAAGTAAATTAATTATTTTAGGGGTTGAAAGAATCTGTAATTTATGACTTGCAACATTTAATCATCACCTGTTGCATAGTGAAAGACATAGGGTGATCACATCTACGTACTAACTCCTGTCTTCATCCCATTTAAAGTCCTATGATAAAACCTTCCCTTGGCTTAATATTTTTAATATAAAATTGTTTTTTAAAGAAAACATTATATTAATCTTTAATTTGATTTTTCTTTATCATTATCTCTGTTACATGGACTCTTCAAAAGTAGTGAAGTACCCGTGTCGGATGCATATCCCTCGGACATGGGTATGGGATATGTGTCCGACACTTTTGGTTGGACATGTACTTAAAAAGCATATACATCATTCAATTACATTATATTATTACTTTAAAATGAGTTAAATTCCTATATTGAACATTATATTAGATAAAAACATTACTCTACTCTAGAAAATAAAATAAAATAATTAATAAAATGAATATTTAGCCATATCCCTGTGTCCTATTTGGAGATTTGACACGTCCGACGCATGGATACATACCCGTGTCCGATACCTGTACCCGAATCCATGTAACATAGATAATTATATATTTTTCCACTATAAAACAAAGTCATAACCGTTGTCCAAGAGGCTTATCAATCACATGCTGGCCAGATTCCAACAAAGGAGTTAGCTAAGTATTTGAAATGCTTTGGAAAGTGCGCGACGTGCGATGGACATGGCTTTTTAGAACAATTTCAGATCAGGATGTTTCATGTAAAGAGGTTGATTTCATCATTGGTTTTTTTTTTTAAAAAAAAAATAGAAGGATGGAGCACTAGAAGTTACTCAAGGAAAGTGAACAGCACTATCCAAGAAAGAGATATGATATTAATTTTGATGAATAGCAGGCATTTTTGGGCTTGGTTTTGATTCCATTGATTCTAGAATTGGAATAAAATGAATCGAAACCAAAAATGAAGATTAAAGTAGGATTAGGTTTTGAATATGAAACTGAAACACAACCATGTAGTTTGCCCTTAGTGTATTATATATAAGTTTAGATTTGGCAATTTTAATTTTTGATTTATCTCTTTTGCATTGTTCTAGTTCATGATGGTAATTTTTAAATTAAACAATCGTAATTTCAGAAAAGCAACATTAGTGTGCTGCCCATCTTCGACAAGTTATTCTAGTGCATTTGACATCAAAGTAACAGTAAAAATCTTTCAATGAATCTTTGAAGTTTACCAGATTGATTGCTCTCATGTAAGTATATGATTCCACACTATATCAATGTGCTTTTACTAGCTTGTCCCATTTTTGGCACCGCTCAGTGCCTGCTACTATTTCCAAAATTTGAAAACTTCTCACTGCTCTGCATAAGCTTCCTCCCCCTCCCACACACGCACGCGCACGCGCTCGCACACACACACACAACACGGACAAAAAAAGGAAGAAATCTGCATTTTTATGGTCCCAGAATGTCAATCAGCAAAATAATCTTGTAATGAGTCCAACGATCTGTGGAAACAAATTCAAAAAAGAAAAAAGAAATTGAATGTTGTATAGTATTTCAATTCTCCTCTCTTAAGTGAACGAGATGAGCAAAAAGTATATGGGCTGAGATTTTAAACAAAGATATAATAGCATGTTGTTTAACTGAAGTGATGACATAGATAGAGCAGAATGACAAAACCAGATTCATACGAGACTGGAAGTAGTTTCAATATAAGGCTTTGTCGAGCTGTGTAGTTTCATCTCCTCTTTTAACTTTTGTTCTCCTTCTGTTAAGGTAATATTCATCAAACAAGAGATACTTTGGTTCTATAGTTAACATGGAATCTATTCATTATGGCTTGCTATTGGTTACTGTTTGAAGAAAGGTATGTCTATTTGATGTGCTTGAAATGTCTTCTGGCTGTAACACCTAGTGGCAAGTCTTAGTGTTTACCTCATAGCTGCCACCGGTGGTACTGTTTAGTCCACATATGACATAACTGCCCTTTTTGTCTGGTTCTGAATCCCCCCCCCCCCCCCCCCCCACAAAATACATTCAAAGCTGTATTAATTGATATTTATTTGGTTGACATTAAAATTTTTATCTTTTAGGAGATCTAGTATTATAATTTACAAGATTTGGTAAATCTTTGTCTTTGCCTTGCGTGCTGTTCATAAAGTTGAAATGCTATGTTTATGCTAACATTTGACTATTTTCATGCTTGCAGAATTGCTTTATTGTTCCAATGGGAATCATTGGTGATATTCAGTCTTTGCTGTTGGCACTTATGTACAATATTGCCGGTGTTTCTTTCTCTAAGAAATCTTGTGGTCTTGTAAGTTCAGATCAAACTGAACAAAGCCAAAGATGTTGTTTTACTGATGCAGCCATCACATTCTGCAAACTTCAGCACCTGAACCCCAATGTCCCTGTCAAAACTCAAGTGAGTCATAACTCCTAATCAGAAAATGAAATTTTATATTTGGTTTGGTCTATGCAGTGAGTCAAGTCTTCCTCTTCAGTTTATAACACTTCATTCTATCTGATTATTTTGTCAGATTGAGTTGATTGTGGCAACCCATGACCTGCTTGCCGAGTATGGGCTTTGCTGTGCAGGTGGAGATGGTGAAGAGGAAGACGGAACATTTCTTAAACTTTCAATAAAGCATCTATTGGCTTTGGATATGAAGCTTAAATCAAACTTTCAATTTTTAAGCAAGGGAGTGGGAACAACTCCATGTGACGAGCAACCTTTCCATGATAATAATGTCAAAACATCTCTAATGGAATCAAAGTCGGATACTCTGAATGTGGTAGTGGGTCGGAATGACAAAGATGAAGCCAGCTCCATTGAGAAGGATGCTCTGGGAAGAATGCCTTCTAAAGGCTTTTTATCTCACGAAGCTGTGGAGAAAGAGAATACAGGAATAGAATGTGGCAAGCATGGTGGTGATGGGCTTGATTGTATATCACATAAAGTAGAAAAAGCAAGCAGTCAATTTATTGAGTGTAGCAATGCACTAACTGAAGATGAAAGGGAGGAACTTGAGTTGGCAATTGAAAATGCTTTAGATCAATGTTTTTTCTGTTTATATGGCTTGAATCTTAGATCTGATTCATCCTATGAAGATGATCTTGTGGCGCACAAGAATACGAGCCGCGGTGATTATCAGACAAAAGAACAGTGTGCTGATGTTTTCCAGTATATATTGCCCTATGCAAAAGCTTCAACTGTGAGCAGTATTTTATTTTATTTTTTTTCACAGTTTTTTTGTGAGGCTTTCTAAAGAGGCTCTTAGTTTAATTTTTTTTTTTGTGAATTATATATATATATAAAAAAGATCTCATATGATGATCTTAGCTTCTGGACCTTTATTTGGCTGCATAAACTTTTTATTTCGCAGAGAACTGGGTTGATCAAGCTTCGGAGAGTATTAAGAGCTATACGCAAGCACTTTCCACAGCCACCAGACAATGTATTGGCTGGAAATGCTATAGATAAGTTCTTAGATGGCCTTGATTTGTGTGAAGACAAACTCTCAGAGGAGGCTGGGTCTGATGGGTTTCTTGATTCCATCACGAAGATTATATTTCCCAATGAGGAAAATCTCAAACAACAAAAGATATCATCAGTAGGGAGGTATGCATGTGTGTTGTTACCTTTATATGTGCAGTTTGATTTATTTGTTTCTTTTAATTAAAAGCTAATATCTGCACTATATTTTTAATTTGGAATGAACTGTGTTTGTGGTGTAATAATTGCAGTTCTGACCCATATTTGGAGGTTTATTGCAACTTGTATTATCTCCTTGCTCAGTCTGAGGAAATGAGTGCAACTGATAAATGGGCTGGTTTTGTACTCACCAAGGAAGGGGAAGAATTTGTAGACCAAAATGCAAAGCTCTTCAAATATGATTTACTGTACAACCCTTTACGCTTTGAGAGTTGGCAAAGGCTTGCAAATATCTATGACGAGGTATGATTCTTTGTAAATTTTTATCTGCAAATGATGTTGAGAAAAACAAAGAGAGGGAAGAGACCTGGGGTTAATTTCATTGTTGGCCCTTTGATCAAAATTATTTGGTTTTGTTTATGTATACAGGAGGTGGATTTGTTGCTAAATGATGGCAGTAAGCAGATCAACGTTGAAGCTTGGAGGAGGAATGCCGCTTTACCTCAGAGAGTTGAGGCAAGTCGTAGGAGGAGTAGGCGATGTTTGTTAATGACTTTGGCTTTAGCAAAGACATCAGTTCAACAGGTATCACTCACAAGTCACACCTTTATTCTTTTTCTAGAAATCTGTGGATATTCTTTTCAAATTTATATGACATTTTCCCCCTTATCTTTACATGGTTTTCAAATAAAAGCATGGGGATGCAATGACGTACAGATTCCACAATGAAGATGTAGCCTTGGTGTAAATTTAGGATGTTAAATTTGTTAAATATAGGTCATCTGATATTACTAGATTATTTAGATCATTATTCATTTTTACCGTCATCATAAAATGCTTAAAAAAGGCACAATTATGATGATTTTGACTCCAAAATTCCAAAGTCGGGTGCATCTTTTCATGGATCTAGCAGACTAGCATCAATAAATATCTAGCATGTTCCCGATGAAGTTGCCTTAGAAACCTTGAATTAACGCGTTGAGGCTGAGATGCAAGTTGTTCTCTTGTTCACCCTGGTTTTGTTATTTATGGCGATGTTAGCCAACCGCTGACAAAATTTGTGTGGTTCCAGGGGGAGATACATGAGCTGTTGGCCTTAGTATACTATGATGGCCTTCAGAATGTGGTACCATTTTATGATCAAAGATCCATTGTACCCTCAAGGGATGCAGCATGGGTGATGTTTTGTCAAAACTCAATGAGACATTTCAAGAAGGCGCTTGCACTTAAGTATGCTTTCTCTTTCTGTACTGTTGAACATGTTTTTATTTCAGAATATAGACTGAACCGACAAATTTAATACTTTCTACTTGCAGGGAAGATTGGTCTCATGCATTTTATATGGGCAAACTTTCCGAAAAGCTAGGATACTCACATGATATATCATTCTCATATTATGAGAAAGCTATTGATTTGAATCAGTCAGCTGTGGATCCTTTCTACAGAATGCATGCTTCACGCCTGAAATTACTTTGTACATGTGGAAAACAAAATGAAGAGGCTCTAAAGGTTCTTCCTATGCCATTTTTTGTTTGGTTTATTTTATCAACTTTAGCTTTTAGTTTTTTTTTCTTTATGTATTTTTTTTTTTTTTCCTTTTCTTTTTCTGGCTATTTTTTCAATATTTCTTGCATGTTTCATTTCAATCAGTAGATGCAAGATGTGTAATTGTGACGACCTCTGTGGGCAGGTGTGATGTGGGCGAGCACTGACAGGCTATAGGGTGTCATGATCCCACATCGCCTGGGAAAGGTGAAGTGCTATATGTATGTTCTACACCCTTCTATGACACAATGGGTTTTAAAGCTGTGATGACCGTGAACCCATAAGAACTCCGGAGTTAAGCGTGTTTAACCTGGAGTAATACCAGGATGGATGACCCATTGGGAAGTCTCTGGTCCAGGGGAGCCAAAAACGGACAATATTGTGTCTAGGTAGGGTAAGGGTTGTTACAAATGGTATTAAAGCCGGAGCCCAGCCGGAAGTGTGGCCAACAGGGACGTTGGGCCCCATAGGGGGGGGGGGGGTGATTGTGACAATCTCTGTGGGCGGATGTGATGTGGGCGAGCACTAGCAGGCTACAGGGTGTCATGATCCCACATCGCTTGGGAAAGGTGAAGTATATGTAGGTTCTAAACCCTTCTATGACACAATACCCATCAGAACTCTGGAGTTAAGCGTGCTTAACCTTGAGTAGTACCAGGATGGGTGACCCTCTGGGAAGTCTCTGGTCCGCGGGAGCAAAAAACGGACAATATTGTGTCTGGGTAGGGTGAGGGTTGTTACAGTAATACTCTAGTACAAATGCACCCACATGTATTTACATGGGAATGTACATGTAATATATAAACATAGACATTGACATGCACAAGCACACTTCTACACATAATTATAGACATATAAACATAACCATACACACATATAGTTGTTTCTTCATCACAATTCATGTTTGCATTTATGATTGACCTTCTCTCCGTCTTGCGCAATTGTATACTTTGCTAGATGTCTCCATATATACCATTCATCCTGACTATTGTTGGACTTTTTCAGGTTGTTGCAGCCTATTCCTTTAATCAATCAACAAAGGAGGCTGTCATGAATATTTTAGGTAGAATGGGTTCTGAAATTTCAGACTCCTTGATGGATGTTGAGGAAAAAAGCACTCAAGCAAATCCTGAGGATGGAAATCAAGTGGGTTCTCATCATTTGGAAGACGCGTGGAATATGCTTTACAGTGATTGCCTCTCTGCTCTTGAAATTTGTGTGGAAGGGGACCTTAAACATTTTCATAAGGCCAGATATATGCTTGCTCAAGGGCTGTACAGAAGGGGTCAGACTGAAGATCTGGAGAAAGCAAAGGATGAACTTTCCTTTTGCTTTAAGTCAACTCGCTCTTCCTTCACAATTAACATGTGGGAGATTGAAAATATGGTCAAAAAAGGAAGGTACAAAGCTTTTTCCCCCCTCAAATTATTTATGTAGGTATTTTTGGCAATTAAAAGTTAATGAATATAATTAATTTTGATTTGATGGAATAGTTAAGGAAGCCATTATGACTGTGTTTGACCACCACAAGCATAGGGAAGCAATTTATTCTGTTTATATGACGTAATTAGAAAGGAAAAATTTGTACTCACTATCACGGGAAAGAAGATTACATCATTCTTGGAATCTAGAAACAATTTTTTTCTTGCAACAAATAAACTCATTTCAAATGCTTTAGAATAATCTAAACTGATGCAATTAGTGATGTCTTAGAAAGTGTCTTGTTTTTTTAATAGAAAGTAGTAATTAAGCTTTGGAATTTACTAAGTGATTAGTTAGGTAATTGAGAAGGTGTTACTAACGTTGAATGGGGATTCTAAAGTTTGTCTAGGGAAGATTATAGAGGTCATTATTGGCTGTATCACAAAAGGGACAATCCTTTTAATTACTATAACAAGTCTTGATCGACATAATTTTGTTTTAGAAGACTCCACGGTGATTAGAGTGATTCTAGTATACCTTACTGCTGTAGGAGAACTATTTTCTTATTTCTCTTTGGTGCATAAACTCATTCTCAATGGTCTACAAAAGTAAAAATGAAAAAAGGTGCTTAATTACACAAGTGAACAAAGGTGCTTAGTAATATTTCTTTTTATATTTCTTTGCGATTGTCTCGAATTAGCTCCTGAAATATAATGTAATAGGCAACCAGCTTATTTTACCTAATCTGGATTACAGGCGCAAAACACCAGGTCTTTCTGGGAACCGAAAAGTTCTCGAAGTTAACTTGGCCGAGAGTTCTCGTAAATTCATCACTTGTATTCGGAAGTACATTCTGCTCTACTTGAAACTGTTGGAGGAGACTGGAGACATCTGTACCCTTGACCGAGCTTATATCTCTATTAGGGCGGATAAGAGGGTACAAACTTGTCAATCCTTTTGAAATTTGAGTACTCTAATTTTTATTGCAAGTACTGTTAATAATATTGCCAGGCAAAATACATCTAGGGCCTTTTTCTTTCAAAAGGTGGATTCAGTGTTCTCATTGCTCTTTGGAGCAGAAGAAAAGCAATATGTAGTTTTATAATCACCCAAATAAAGAAAGATGGCTTTCTTTACAGTTCATTTATTACTTTACCAATCATGATTCATTTCTATCAGAGAATTGGTGTTTCAGTGGAACTTTTGTCAAAGAAGCAGATTTATATTTTTGGAATTACTTATAACTTCTCTACATTGAGAGTTAAAAAGATAAAAAAAAACTTTATATTTTTTAAAAGGAAAACTTTGAATAAATTTAATAATTCATATAAAAAATAGAGAGAAAATATGATGTATCTCGTCCCCCCTCTCCCTCCAAATTTACTTATAGAAAGTATGAAGTGGAACAAAATTATTGCTGGTGACTTAATTTTAGTGTCTAATTATAAAAAATTGTTTTTTGAAACTTAGGAAAAATGTAAAAGTTTTACCATACTTTGAAGTTCTAAAAGAAATGTGGAAAATGTGGGATGAAATGGTGTTTGAAAAGGATTATGGGTAGAAACTTTGAAAGAATCACACGGTCAGAAGGGAATATAAAAAAATGATGGTTTCCCTTGCAACTTTAACCAAGGAGCTTATGTTGTAGGATTTTCTATAGTTAGGCACGGGGTATATTACAATATTATAATGATTGCAGTTTTTGTTATTTATTTTATTATTATTATTATTTTTTGTTGTTGTTGTTGTTATTGGAAGAGGGCGGGAATTGGGGGGCACGGTAGCAGATATGCAGATGACTGATCCTGCCGTAGGTGCCCAAAGACTGTCATAAAAATAAAAAAAAATAAATAATGTTGATAGACTAGAAAGGATCTACAAGATCCAAAGTCACGGGACTTTTTTTAGGGCCATGGCGCTTTTTTGTTTTGCCCTTTCCCAACACATCTGCCAGTGACTATGGATGGAACTTTGGTCTTTGAAACTTTTACCAAGAAAATGAGGCTGTCATTACCGTTCTACTGTTACATGGAAATCAGCTATAGCTAAACATCCTGTTTCTTGATAGTGTTCACCGTCAAAACAATTAATACTTGATCTCTATTGTATATCCAGTTCTCCTTGTGCCTTGAAGATCTAGTTCCAGTAGCTCTTGGGAGGTACATTAAAGCCCTAATTTCATCCGTCCATCGAACTGAGACTGTTGGCTATGGTCCTGCAAGCAACCCTCCTGAGCATATTCTAGAAAAAATGTTCTCTTTATTCATGGAACAGATGAACTTATGGTCAGAGATATGCAGTTTGCCTGAGATCAAGAGCCCGGAATTATCAGAGAGCAGCTTATACGGGTATGTCATGCTGAGCAAATTTCTATTTGAACCTGAAATAATTGCAAATTATTCAATATATCACAAATATATCAGTACCATGAATCATTCCTGAGGTACTTCTAAAATTTTCTTCATTAATATTACTCTTAATGTTAACATGCGTCTTCTTCTCCCCTTAAATTGCGTTGCCCCATCCCACCTCAGCATGTCAATTGAATCAAAGCTACTTGGCTCAGCTTGAGCTCAACTTGTCAAGAGCTTGTTCGCTAGCTCGGCTGAGCTGAGCTTGAGAGTAAACCCTTAGCTTGTCACTGCAACAAGCCGATCTCAATTAACAGGTGCACTTGACTCGATAGGCTTGAGTGCTCATCAAGCATGGGTCGCTTGATAGTTGCATTGTTTATGTAAAATTGTGCCATATTTCATGTCATTTGAACTAGTACCGTAATTATTTTGTTACAATACAGAATGTGACAGGGTTATCTGGCTATTGTGGGGCTTTTGACTTTTCAATTTTCTTTGCCATTTTTTACTTTCTATTGTATAGTGTAAAGATGCTGAACCTATTGTACCATGCCAACAAAACTGGAAATTAATGTCAGACATGTAATTGCCAATAAATAGAGTCTAGCCGAGTTGAACGTCTTGCATAAGAAGCTGACTTTGATCTTGGACACCAAAAGTTAAGCTGAGTTTGAGCTAATATCAAAACTTGTCCTTGCCAACCAGCTGTACCTTGCACTTTGGTACTTGGCTTAGCTTGGCTCTTTTATGCCCATAACCCTATCATATTTTTTTTAATCCTTTGTGCTATCTTGAACTGGTCCTTTTTTTTTTTTTTTTTTTTTTTGTTGCTTGTGTTGGTTTAGTTCTGGCTACCCTATACTACTTTATTACATTCCCAACTTTTGGATTATTCCTAGCATTTGGTCATTCTAGGTTCTGAATTGATCACTGAGCTGAATGTAATGCACTCCTGAGGCTGTTTACATGTTTGAAGTCTAATTGTTTAAGTGCCCACTGCCCACTGCCCACTCACATGTAATCGCATGGTTCTACAAACTTTTTTGATTTTTTACTCCTTTGTTGCAGATATCTTTACCAATATATCCAGTTGTTAGAGAGAAATGTCAGACTGGAAACACTTGAAGCAATAAATGAGAAGATACGGAAGCGTTTCAAGAATCCAAAATTGTCAAATAGTAATAGTGCTAAAATTTATAAGCATGTTTCTGTTGCTTTGTGTAGATCTCTTGTATTTAACTTGGCCTTAATTACTCCACTACATTCCAAAATCTCAAATGAGGCCCAGGTCCATAATCTGTTAGATAGTGAATCAGAAAACAGCCAGGTGCTCTTTGTTGATCTGCAAACAAGTGAATTGTGGAATTCATCATTGGAGGATCCAACCCATCTAAAAAATCTTGAAACAAAATGGAACCCTTTGTTGTCTAAGATCAAGAATACTATAATCAAGAAATCTTCAGAGCAAGATTTGGAGACCGCCGCCTCACTGCTCAGATGTTCTCACAACTTCTATCGGGACACCTCTTCTTCAATGCTCCCATCAGGTGTCAACCTCTATATGTTGCCATCTCAGTTAGTAAAAGAAGCACCTTTTCAGCTGGGTACCGATGGGATGCTTGATCTGAGTATTCCACGGAAGCTTCTCCTGTGGGCCTACACATTATTGCATGGGCGTTGCACAAGTATCTCAGTCGCTGTAAAGTATTGTGAAGAAAATGCAAAGGTATTTGATCTAACTTACCCTTTGTAGAGGTATTGGGTTGGGATGCATTGTGCAAATAAATGTAAAAAGAAGTGTTATAAGTGGTGTCACATTCTTTAAGGAACAGAGTTTCCTTCCAAAAGTGTTAGTAAAGCTATCCGTCTCTTATTTTTTACCACTAAAACTCCAAAACGAATTATTTTTTCTTTGCAATTGAAGCCAAGGGTTATTGACACTGAAGTATATCTCTAGTATTCAGTTTCACTAGGTAGGTTGCCAGGCAGACATATTAGGTTGATGGCTTTGGCTGTTTCTATGCAATTGAACAAATATTTGCTTGAAATGTGGAAGTAGCCGAATCAACTTTTGCAAGGGTGCTTTTCTGATATGTGAACATCCTCAAAACATAATTGCTATAGTGATAAAAAGGAATAATGCTTATTTCTGAGATGTGGAGCAAATGCATGATGGTTTCTGGTTCTGTGTTGCAGTCGAAGATGAAAAAGGGAACTGGAAGTTCAACCACGCCCACAAATACAAGTGCTCCCACTGCTACTACTACTCATACAGGTCTTTCTTACCACAATTCTGACTTCGTTTCTTTTCTATTTGACCCCCCAAGATCCCCCTCTATTTCATATCATTAGTGTTGACTTGGACTTAGTTTTATTCAGAATTTTTTTTTTTTTGTCATACAGATTGTAACTTTTCTTTTTCCTCCCCTGCTAACTATTTGATATCTGAAATGGGAGTTTTGCCAGATCCCTTTGTCTAATCCGGTTTTATAGAAAATTCCCGAGTCCTTGGTCATGGAAGCAACTAATTTTTTGTACATTTACAATCGGTCCTTAGTTGTGGAAGCAACCATTTTATTTTATATTTTCCTTTGCCCTTCTGCATGTTATTTGTCACTCCCAGCTACTGATTATTGTTATAAATGCTTGTAGTTGGCGGGAAAGATGGAGCAAGTAAATGTAGTGAAGCAGACGTTGCTCCATCCACTAATATGGCATCTGCTGGTGTGCCTAAAAGTGAGAATGCACACATTATGGCATCTACTACCTTGCCTGAAAGTGAGCGTGCACGGACTCCGGCATCTGCTTCTGTACCTGAAGGCAGGAGCAGGCATGGCCGCAGCATTACTTCTTCCAGTGATAGCCAAAGGATTTTATCAGCCACTCAGCATCTGCTGCTTCATTGTAGTAACACTACCGCAGAAAGGAGCAATGTGGACGTGCAAGATGAGACAGATCCTAATAAAACTTGACTTCTTCATTGTCATGTAAAATTTTCTTTTAATTCGATAAATCTCGATTTGCTGCAAAATTGCCCCATATGGGTATTGTTGTGTATTGTAAAAGGAAAAAATGTACTTGTATCTGTTAGGTGGAATAGCTTCTTTGAAACCATAGAGCCCGCATTTTGTATAGTTTGTGGTGATATAGCTGAAAATTGGAATCATTTCAGTTTTCATATTTACATGTTACAAGAGCATTTATAGCATTGTGTTGGGACTTGACTAGAGTTATTTCAAGATTTTGATTGTCAAATCCAGTTTTGAACCAATTTTTGTTGGTTGGTGGTAAAGCTGCAGAATAATATCCTAGGCAGGTTATTAGTCATTTGAATTTTACGAGTCCTGGTTTCTCTGTAAGCGTAACGACCTAAGAAGAGACATTCATTATCACAGTTCATTCACAAGAGATGAAAGGAAGGAACAGATGTTATGAATTTCTCAAACAAGAACAATGAATTGGTTTAACCCAAAAAAAAAAAAAACCAAAAATCCAATGAATTGGTTAATACAGATAACGCTTTTAGTACTAATGTACATAATAGCCTGAAACAACTCTAATATACAAAGCCTGAAGTAGTGCTCAAGTGGGCATCCACTGAAACTCTGCCTGAAGTAGTGCTGCTCAAGTGGGCATCCGAAACCGGCACAGTGGACACAAGTTACTAACTCCGAGCCAACGAACGAGGCAATCTCCGTGAAAATCATGCAAGCAAGGCATCCGGGTTGCCTCCGAACCAACCAAAAGCTGTTCCATACATATCACACACTGCATCATCTTACTATCTGAATTTTCCACTTTCAACTTCTCTAAGGCCTCAACTGATGCCTCGCTAGCCGGCACTCGCCTCCACTCCATTGGCACCATTGCATCATCATCATCTTCTTCTTCTTCTTCTTCTTCTTCTTGACGGCCCACAACAACATCATCATCATCATCATCATCATCATTGTCTTCTGGACTGCCCACAACATCCATAGACACTACCATGGGCAAAACCATTAGGTTTTGATTTTGTTTCACCAATAATTCGGCGGATGGAATGATACGAGAAATCATAAAAGGCTGAACACGTAAGGGGACACCTAGGTCACGGAGCATATCAGATATTGTGGACCATGTATTATTGTTTTGACACGTCAATCCATCACACGGAACCCAAAATTGCATACAACGCTCCTCGGACTCTAAGCGATCAATATCATCATCGTCCTCCGAATCATCATCGTCGTCCATGAAATCGGACGGAGGATATGTGAACCGTACGTGTAATTCCACGTAGAATTGTGTGTAAGGTTTTGGGTCGGCCATGGGAATGATTGAAGAGGCGCCCAACCAAGCAATGCACGACTCATCAAATGGTGTGTCGCATTCCATTCTTGATCACGCGTAGACTCCCCAGTCCGCCGATGCCCGACGACTGGGAGAATAAAAGAAACGGCGGCGCGACGACTGGGAGAATAAAAGAAACGGCGGTGGTGCGCTCCAGCGGGATGTTCTTACCGGCGCCGAAGATGGTGAGGGAGAGAGCGTATGTAGGGAGAGAGCACACGCTATGACGCTAAGCAGATCTTTTATAGGGCTGCAAGTTGGGCTGGCCCAACCCAGCCCAGTCCAAACCCGATCTCAACTCAAAATTGGATTGGGTTGGGTCAGCCCGAATATTTTGAACGGGTTGAATGTGTTTCACGGGTCAATTTTTTTTTTTTAAATTTTATTTTAAGAGTTAATAATCTTAAACAAAGAGGATATTATACATCATTTGAAGCAACTAGGAGTTAATTCTTTTGCCTCACTATAAAATTTTGGTTGGAATCTAGGAAGGACGTACAAATTTAATGGAGGTAATAGTATAAGGAAAAAAAATATAAAAAGAAAAATAAAAATTGGGATATAATAATATAAGGAAATAAATCTTTTAAAATGTGATAATATAAGAAAATAATTTTTTTTTTTTGCGGATTCTGATATTTTTGGGATCTAATAATAATAAGAAAATAAAATTTTTAAGAAAGTAACAATATATAAAGAATAATTTTTTTTGGATTATTGGTTTAGGGGACTAAGCCTTGATAATATCTGTTAAGTCCCCAATCAAAAGTGAAGATTATAATGATGACTCGGATATAGATATAGAACAATTTACCATTTAATAATATCATTTTATAAGCGAATGTTGAGAGTGTAAAAATCTAAAATAGTCCTTAAAAGTTGTTCAATATTTAGACAATCACACCCCTCAAGTTTGATAAAATAGACAAAGGCACTCCGACAATAGTGAATTGACTTCGTTACCTTTTGATATAAAATTAACAAAAGTAATTGACTCAAATACCATTAAATAAAAGGGAAAATTACATATACATGGAATCAAAGTTACATATTTACTTAGAGACTGAGTCAAAGTTTCATATTTCTCTAAAATGGATTGCTGAGGTGGCACATGATTTTTTACTGTTTAGAAAATTGTGGTGCCTAAAATGCCCTTCCCTAACAAAAAAGTAGTACCTTCAGTGCAAAAAAGTAGTACCTTCAGTTCAAAAAAGTAGTACATTCGGAGAAAAAGTAGTACCTTCGCGGGTGTTTAAAAAACATGGTACCTGGACGCCAAAAAGTAGTACTTTCAGTTCAAAAAAGTAGTACCTTCGAAGAAAAAGTAGTAATATGGAACTTTGATTCAGCCTTTAAGTAAATATGAAACTTTGACTCCATTTATATGTAATTTTCCCTAAATAAAATGCCCCATTGTCTCTCTCCTCCTTATTCACAACCCCTTTCTCTCTTCTCTCTCCGTTCTCTCTCTTCCTTCTCTTGCCCAGATGAACTTGTTTACATGGATAGAGTACACCAGAGATGAAGCTCGCAGACTATAGCAGATCGAACTGAACCGTAGCACACAAGTTTGAAACGGGAAGCTCACCGGAACCGCGGAGGGGAAGATCTTACTGCCGTTTGCAGACTGTAGTGCCGGAACTGTTTGTCACCGAACGGAGGCACATAGGACTGCAACTCAACAGTACGTCTCTACCTAAAGGAAACTCATTGGTGTTCATAGTTGCCAAAGCTTGCCGAATGTATATGGTGTGAATGAAGCTTGGCCGGAATCAATGGAGCTTAGCTGCTCGGAGTTCGTCGGAATCAATGTAGTTCCGGCCTTGTATTTGTACCAATGGAGACACTTAAGATCACTGTATCTTTTTCATGCTCACTGACCTGCACTCAAGTTAGCTATCTTGACCGATTGATGAAGCCTTTTAGGTTGTTCGCTGCTCGCCACCGTTTGGGTTTGACGTTGAAACTTCTGGGTCTTGAATGGAGATGAAGTTCTGCTCTCTGTTTAAGGTCGATGAAGCTTACAAGGTACAACGGTGAAGCTCGCGGAAGTTAGGACTGTGTTTCACCAGTTGGAGATGGTGAACTGCTCGTCGGCTGGTGAAGATGGTGAACCGCTCGTAGGCCGGTGGTTGGAAGGTGTGGAGGTGGTGTCGCTGCTTGCTTGACGTTCATCACTGTTTTCGGCTTCATCTCCTTCACCGCCAACAACACCTTCTCTATTACACTGCTTCGGGGCCAACATTTGATGCAATTCAAACACCGAATCGACGGCGACGACCTCAAGATTTTGTTGAAAAGATTGGAATGAAAAACCCATAGTTTGACTTCCATTTGGGATGGAATAAAGGGTCAATTAGAGGTAGAAAATACTGGGTTTGGGTTTCGAACAATCTCTGTGTGTGTGGATTTGTATATTTGTGATTTGGTAACTGGTATACAGCCCTTCAACCGCTTTGGTTTGGTATACACACAGGATTTATGAATTGTATCTCTATGAATCTATGATAGCCTTTCATCACCCAACCCGTCATCATCAATCATAAAATCTTCAAAGAACACCGGCCAAGAACAATCACACTGAAAAACTCTAAGATGAAAAAGGGTAATTTGGTCCTTTAAGTATTTTGATATTTTATAATTAAAATTAATAAGATAGTGAAGGGAAAAATGGACTTTTCACATGTTTTAAAGCTATGTTTAGATGACAAATTTCACCAAGGGGTGTAATCATCCAAAAATAAAAAAACTTTTATCTGATTATCCTTACTCCAAACTTCAGAACATCGGAGGGTGTCTCTGTATTTTTACCTTTTTATTAAAAGTTTTAACTATCACAAAAGTTTTATGTTACTTTCGACTATTAAAGAACTAAGACAAAATTAAAGGGCAAAAAGAAAAGTAGATAGAGGAGAGAGAAGGGAGACAAAAAAATTCAAGAGCATGCGTTTTTCTATCAACTACTCCTACTCCACCTTCGCCTAAAAAAAATAAAAATAAAATAAAAAAAAAAGGAGAGAGAAGGGAGACTAAAATAAAATAAAATAAAATAAAAAAATTCTGAAGTTTTTTATTTTTTTATTTTGAGTTTTAGGTTGGGTTCGGGTTGAGCCCGAGCCCAACCCAAACATGCCTGAATTTTGAGAAAACTCAACCCAATTTGAGCCCAATTTCTAAATTTTAAAAACCAAATTTCTGGTGGTTGGATTGGTTCGCCGCCAAAGTTGCACCATATATATGGATGAATGACAATGTATGTAGATATCATCCAAAATCCAAAATATTATTTTTATAGTATTATCTATTTCAATAAATATAAAAATAATAATTCTCTTACTAACAGTCTTGAAGAATTCCATATCAACTACTAATAAAATCTTAAACTCTATCAACTACTCCTAATTCTATATACAAAATTTTTCTTATATCTAATTTTTTATTATATTATTTATTTCAATAACTATATAACAATAATTCTCTTACTAATAAAATAAAATAAAAATAAAAAATCCGTAGCAAATTCTAATAAATTCCTAAACTCTATCAACAACTAAGAAATCTATTTACAAAATTATTCTTATTTTTAAGTTTTATAATTATACTGTATTTCAATAAATATATAAAAACAGTTCTTTACTTCTAAAAATAACTGTATATCAATTATTAATAAAATCCTAAACTCTATTAACTACTTCTAAATATTGTATATGCATATTTATTCTTATATTTGTGTTAAAAAATTTATATCAATTACGTACTAATGAAATTCTAAACTCTATTAACTACATAATTATTATTTTTATTATATATTTGTTCACTTGCACGCAGGGAGCCAAGAAATTATGTGAGGGGGACGATAGTGTAATTTTTTAGTAA